GCAGCGAACCGCGGCCAGTGGGAGCCGCGATCGGCTGGACCTGCAGATGCGGCAGGTAAATAAACCAGCCCAGCCCGTCAGGGGCTTTCCCTACACAAGCTGCGTCCCAAGTTTGGGAAACACTGCTTTACAGTAATACCTAGTCCCACTCCACGCAGCTGACAAGTTCTAGGTAGCTCCTCCATGGATGTCAGTGCATCAAGAATGAGTGGCTTTTTCCTGATTCAGTCTTTCTCCTCTAATATAAATAAATCAATGCTCATGCTTCTAAAAAACTAACTGCTTTCACCTACCACTTCCCATTCAGTTTTGGTGGAGGTATTCTTTGCCAGTAACTAAATTAAACCTGGTTTCTGCCATAATTAACACTGTCCTCAAAATAAAAATTTAGTTTAGCATTTCAACTGCTTTAGTGGGACTAATAAAAATAAACATCATTGTCACCAGTAAGCATATCATCTGATTGATTGCCTTGTAATACCTTTCAGGGCGGAGAATTAGTAGCTGCTGTAAGAGGAGCCAATGCACCACTGTTACAGAAAACGATCCTGGACCAGCTGGAGGCAGAAAGGAAGGTTTTAGAACAAGGAGCAGAACGTGTGGTGGTAATCAGGGGTCTCAATATATAAATCCATGCAGGCATGTTGTCACAAGAAAGGTTCCCTTCCTCCTCATAATGCTGTCTCTGGTAGAGAGCACACACAAGCATTATCTACCTTGGCTGAGGGTATAAAAAGCACACCCCCTCCAACATCCACCAGTTCTCTCACCCTCCAGAAGCCGCCTCTGGAGTTGGGCTCCAACACACAGAATGAGCCTGACGTTTCAAACATGATCATGATGGGCTTTATTTACCTTTTTGCACATCTGTGATGGCGTGTATAAACCCCACTCAGGCTAAGAAGGGGTTAACTAGCTCTGTTAGCCCCAGCTGATTATACCTGGAGGGTGTGTCAGGCCCAGGGAAGAGTTTAAAGGAAGGAGTTTAGAGGTTTGGGGAACAAGAGACTCAGGAGTAGTCTGGAGGTTAAACTCTGTGGGCAGGGCCTGGCAGAGGGAGAACTGTGCGAAAGCTACAGGAGTAGCGTTAACTCCTGTGGTGAACCTTGAAAAAGAAGAATAACTCTAGGGGGAAGCTTGGGGAGATGCTGCTTTGGAAGAAGAGTGAGACTGGAGATGTGTTGAGTACCAGTATTGTGTTGGGACACTACTTGTTTGGGACATTGATAGTTCCACCCCTTTCGGGCTATCATTTGACCTGGCCATAGGGCCAAGTCACCACCATACCAGACCATTGAAGTCCTAAGAACCCAAGTAGAGTTGCCTAAATGCTGGGTCATGCCACAAGTGGGTGCTCTGGGATGGTGACTGCAGAGATGGGAAGAGGGTTTGCTGAGAGACTGTGAGCTTTAGAAAAAGTTGTACAAATCAGCAAAATTGCAGGAAGAGAGCCAAGAAACCATATATGCAGATGTCACATAGTGGAGGATTAAGGATGAACAGGAGAGGAAAACAAGATAAAACCAGCCAGTGTAAGAAAGGGCACCAAAACCTTGCCCCAAATAGATAGCCCAGACAACTGTGTGGGAGGTGTGGACATGACTGTAAAAACAGATACTAGCCAGCATGTAGAGAAAAGTGCAGAGTCTGCTGGAAGTACAAACAGTGCAGGCAGAAGAACATGGTAAATACAGTGAAGGAATCTAGTGTTGAGACCTTGTTCGTTGATCCCATACAGGAGTTGTCATAGGAGATCCTCAAAGGAGAGGCCTGAGCCAATCCCCTTTGAGGGATTGTGCCGGTGTCACTGTAGACCTAGCTAGCTCCAGCACTAGCCCAGCTGCTCCACCACTTGCTTATTAATACTCCCTTTATTTTGGCACATCCCGAGCTGTTTATTTCCCAAGAGCAAGACTCTTGAATGGATGGTATCATTAATGAATGAGAAATAACTCTGCCTGTAACTCTGCTACTCAGAAGATGGCCTCACATGAGACATGCAGAGCAGGAGGTGTGTTTCTCAGGAGGCTACGTTCCTTGGTTTTATTGTACTCTTGCCCAGGAAGTTGAGCTTGTGTGCTTGTCTGATCCAGATTTTGCTTCTTGTCTCCTACTGGTTTTTATTGGCAGCACTTCCTTCTCTCATGATTCAGGAACAAACCGAGAGGTTTGGGCAGCTAGTTCCTTAGTTGCACGCTTTGCACCTATGGAGAACCCTGCTGCACAGCCCAGTGACTAAGGCTGGTCATTGCTGAACAGTCTTACCTTGAAAACAGCAAGAAGCAAATGGATCCAGTCCAGCTTTCTGCTGTGGCACATTGGAGTGTTTATGATTGGCACATGTATGGAGTGTGATAGGTCACTAAGTGTGGTGTGAATCCTGCAATCACAGCTCATTCATGTGTTCTCACTGCTAGATTAAGGATGAAGCCCTCTCCAAGGAAGGAGAAGATGCCATCATCGTTCAGGAAGAAGAATAGGAAGACGAGCTGGGTAAGCAATCCTGCCACAATGAGGTAGCACAGTGCTTCCAGCCCCAATCCGCCCCCCAGCCCCGCCCCACCCCATTCAGCCCTCAGTCCTGGTCCGCCTTCAGGCCAGATCTTCCCCCAACCCCACCCCCAGCCCAGCTCTGCCCTCAGCTCCTCCCCCATCCTCAGTTCTGCCCCCAGCTCCACCTTCAGCCCAGGCTCCACTGCTGAGGAAGCCTTGGCTGCACAGTAATGGAGAGGCAGGGGTGCAACTGGAAAAGTTTGCGTACCACTGCTCTTGTGGGCAGTTATGGACTAAGTCTACTTCTAGAGGAAGTGTCTTCCTAACACACGGCCAGGTAGAACGTGCCCAGTTGCACAGCAGTTTAAGATCCCACTTTACATTTTAATAAATCATATCAAATGTAACTGTAGGTATTCCTATTAGCCCTATAAATCCTCTTTTGAATCCTATCCAGTTCCAGGCCACAAGAACATGCAGCATCAATGAGCTCCACATGCTAACTATGCACCATGTATAGCCATATTTCCTTTTATCAGTATTAAAATTTGCTGTCTCAGTTTCATTGAATATCCCCGTTCTTCTCTAACAAGAGAGGATGAACAAAGCCAGCTTCTCTACTTCCTTCATCCTATTCATTACTCTGTAAACCTCTATTGTAGCCCCTCCTATTTGTCTCCTTTCTTAACCAAACAGTCTTTCCATTTTGCCCCGTTCCTGCTACATCCTTGTTCAAATGGGTGACCACAATGGCACACAGTATCCAAGTGAGGGTGTACCCATGAGCTATATCATGACACTAAAATATTCTCTGTATTATTTTCCATTTTTTGAGCATTTAACATGTTTTGACTGCTGCTCGGCATTAAGCAGAGGTCTTCATCAAACTGTTCAGAGCGATGCCCAGATCTTTTCCATAAGTGGAAACAGGTCATTTACTCTCCAGTGTGCATTACTTTGCATTTGTCAAGATTTAATTTCATCTGCACAGAGCAGTGAGAGCATAAGACACTTTCATTCTACTGCACCTTGTTCATTGATGCAAAGACCAAAATTAATCTTGCACTGTTCGGTTGTACAGATTTGTTTGAACTTGCTATAAGTTGTTTAAATGTTTTCTTTTGCACATTATTAAATTTTTTCTCCTTGGTAGATTAATGTACCCCTAATCTTCTGGGATTGCTTTTTCCATTGTCCTATTGAAGCGGAGGAGGAATTTTAGAGACGCCTTTTTGCCCTTTATACATGCTGCATCTACATACTGTGCTGCTTTTGCTCCTCCCTCTGAAGATATTTGCACACAACTAATGTGTTTATGAACTGGCATTAATGAAGAAATTCAGTGTCTGATATTTCTGGCTCTGTTTTTTCTTTGGCACACTACACTTTGGGTCAGATCCTACAGCCTGTGCAAGAGCTCTGGAAGGCCTCTGAGGCAGTGGAGCCAGCATGATTCCCTTTTGCCAGGGGAGTCCAGTGCAGAGAGACTATGCTGGTCTCTAAAGTTCCTCAGAGACTTTTCTAGTTTTGACTCCCTCTAAGCAGCATAGTGCTGCCCACCACAGCTCTCTCTCCACACAACTGCACTGTGTGGTTGGGTGGAGTCAACAGTTCTGTGACAAAGTGCACTCCCTGTTCAAAACACCAGTGGAGGTCCAGGAGATGTCACTTCCCTCACCTCCCACAGAAACACTATGCAAAGGATTGTTACGCAGCTCAGGATCTGGCCCTTTGTCTTTACTAACTGTAATAGGGCAACCCAAAGGGCCTCACCTAGAGAATTCTTTAAAAAACAAAACCAAAGCTTTTCACTCTGAGTGGCTTCCCTGCTTTGTCCGAGGCTGAGTCCAAGCATAAACCACTTGGGTTTATGATGATGCTATCTGTATTGCAATAGCACCAGGTGTCCCAGTCATGGACCAGAACCCCCCCAGTGCAAACACACATTTGTGGAGTGTCTATACTAGCATTTACAATCCTGTTTGTTAACTCAGGTTAATTAGCAATCCAACTCCAGTCTAGACAAACCCTAAGGTCTCTCTACGCTCATTTGCATCAAAATAACTTTTTGGGTTTTAATTCATACCTTTAGTGATTTCTGTGTAAGTCTGTGTGCTTTTATTATGGAACAAAAGCACTGGGGAAAAAAATCAAAATCAGGGCACCCTACATGCTGCTGTTTGTGTCCTAGGCAAATGCAGCTCTGTGCTCTCTCATGGACTTTACTTCAGTTCTTGGTTTCCCTTCATCTAACAAATCTCTGGTTATTCTTTATGAATGGAAACACCTAGCATACACCATCAGTAAGTGGCACCATCGCAGGGGTCTAGCACAGGGAAGCAAATGAAGAGCAACAGCGACATGTGGTACAAGGAGGATGAGGACGTGATCTCTCTCTCTCCTAGATGTTTGCATCAAAGAAACTTTCTGACATTACTTTGAATGGAGACAGGTGCCACTTTAGCAGGACCCAATGCAGCCCTGTCCCCTTTCTGCCTTGGAGCCAGGTTTTCAAGAGAGACCAGAACACTGGTTGCCCAAGGGGAGCAGAGGCCTTTTGAAAGTCAGGGACAATGAAAGTACATGTCTGAAATAAACAAAGTGATCAAACCAACAGAAAGAGCTAATTGACAAGAGGATAAGGACAGCATGGCATCTGCACACCAGCAGGGGAGAAAAACTCTGTCTGGGGTATAAACTTCAAAGAATATATTTCAAAGGTTCACTGCTCTTTAAAAAGAAGGGGAGAGAACCCCTTAGTTATTCATCATGTAGGGGACTTAGGGAACTCTGAGTCTGTGAATGTTGAGTCCCATGGCCAGAAGGGCTAGAGACACTGGTAGTTTTATGTGAGAAAAGGGATTGTAACGTGCTAGGATAAAGTTGTAGTAGCTAGAAAGTGGGTTTGGTTGGGTTTGGTTTGTAACCAGATGTGTCCCAGATCTCAGATGTATCACTTTAATTTCTGTTCTTTGTTAATAAACTTACTCTTAGTTTTACAATAAATAATTTTAGTGCTGTTTTGTTAAAGTGATATGTGCGTCCAGGATGGTGTGTGCTCTGTTTTTCTGGAGGCAGCGAATTTAATAATTTCTGTAACTGTCCATTGAGAGGGACTGGACACTGAGACATCTCTGGGGAACTGGGGTTCACTGTTACCAGCAAGGCAAGATTTAGACTGGCAGTGTCTCAAGGGGTTTTCTGGTGAGGTGGACAGACTTCTGTGGCAGAGAACTGACACAGTCTAATCTCCAGTAAAGCTAACACTTGCTAAATCAGAGGGATAACACAGTGGCTTACAGTCTTGGTGTCCTGATCAGAATGATACAATTTGTGTGTCTGACCAATCCCTGCTTCAAGGTGTGGGCACTGCCCATTCCCACTGTGCCATGTGTCTGACTAGCCCAGGGTGCAGGGTGTGGGCACTGCCCATTCTGAGTGCACTGCGTGTCTGACCAAACACTGGCCTGGGGTGTGGGCACCTTCCATTCCTAGCGCACTGCGGCTGATCAACCACTATCCTGGGTTGTTGGTACTACCCATTCCCAGAGCAACGTGTGTCTGGCTGGCCGTTAAACTTGTCAGGCAGGGGACTCTTTGGTTCGTGGAAAGATAAGCCAAAGACACCATGGCCTGTTGTGCAGCATATTTTGTGCCTGCAGTGCAGCCAGCTACATCAGCTGGGTCTGTAAGGAACCAGCTATCTCCAGCAGGGAAATATTGGCCTGGGATGGATCCATACTAGCTGCCAGTCTGGACCCTCTGTCAGATTTTGTTTTCCTTTGGTCTGCTCAAACTGCCAGAAGACTGGGTCATGGGTGGTCTGACTTAGTGGGCAAAGCAGCAGCCAGGCCTAGTAGGTGGAGCAGGGCCAGATTAACCTTTTGTGGGCCTGGCGCCAAACATATTTGTGGGCCCCCATGGAGGCAATGGAGCATGGCGCAGGGAGGTCAGTCCCTGGAGCAAGGGGCCAGCCAAAGGCAATGGGGCATGGCATGGCAGGGGCAGCCCTGCTCCGCCCAATGCGAGGGCACTATTTACAAACTGGCAGTTGCCAGATGCACAGTGGTCTGCCCAGCCCTGTGCTGCCAGCATGCTCCTTCCCCTCAGGGGTGGGCCTATACCACCACACCGCCCCCCCCGCCTCCCTATCATAGAATATCAATGCTGGAAGGAACCTCAGGAGGTCATCTAGTCCAACCCCCTGCTCAAAGCAGGACCCATCCCCAGACAGATTTTTACCCCAGTTCCCTAAATGGCCCCCTCAAGGACTGAACTCACAACCCTGGGTTTAGTAGGCCAATGCTCAAACCACTGAGCTATCCCTCCTCCCAGAGGCCCCCCCCCCATCCACCCACAAATGTATAGCGCCCTGCACACCACCACCCCTGCCCTCAGCCCTACCACAACTGCCCAGCACCCCTCACAGAACCCTCACTACCTAGTGCCCCAACACACACAGATCCTCTTCGCCCCTTCACAGCCCAGCACCTCCCCCCCATGGTACCCACAGACCCACTCCCCCAAGCCCTGCCTCCCAGCTGCACTCACCAGCCCTGCTGGGAGGCGACTGTGTCTGCCGGGCTGAGCCAGCAGCGCAGCCAGGGTTGGTCCCAGGGCCAGGAATCGCTCCGGCCCCCCAGGAGTGGCGCAATCAGCTAGGCCAGGGCCTGCCCCGGCCGGGCTCCCTCAAGATGCACTTGCCTGGAAGGGCCCAGCCAAGGCCTCCACACTGTCCCCCCCCCGCCCCCAGCCTGAGATTGGCCAGGCTTCTGCACCAGTCCCAGGCGGCTCAGCTCCGGGGAGACAGGTGGGGTGCCACAGGTGGTGGGAAGCAGAGACTGCCAAGAGCCAGAGGTGCACTGGGGTCCAACCAGGGGGCTGAGAGGAGCAGGGATTGGGGCCAGGGAGTGGAGAGGAGCCCTCAGCCAGCTCACAGGCAGGCCGAGAGGAGCAAGAGGTGGGCCGGGGGAGCCAGTGGGGTCTCAAGGCACACTGCAAGCGGAGCAGGCCGGGGCCCCTTCTGAGCATGGGCCCGGCTTTATGGAGCCAACGTAAACCTGGCACTGAGGTGGAACAAGGGTCAGAACCCGAGTTAAGAGTCTGAATGCCAGAGCCAAGGCAGCATCTGAATCAGGAATTGAAGCCAAGGGTCGGAACAAAAGTAACGGAGGGGTAGCCGTGTTAGTCTGAATCTGTAAAAAGCAACAGAGGGTCCTGTGGCACCTTTAAGACTAACAGAAGTATTGGAGCATAAGAACAAAAGTAGGGGTCCAAATACCAGATCAAATACAGTCAGGAATTAGAAGCTCAGAACAGGGTTACCTGGTTCTGAGGCTGGGATAGGCCTGGAGCAGGGTAGGGTCTAGGCTACAGCAGGCCACAGGAGCATAGGGAGGTATTATTAGGCAGCTAGCAAGCTACTGCTGTGTTTAAGAACAGACCTGCTGGCTTCCTCAGCCAATCAGGACAGGTGGGACAGTCTGTCAAGTGGCCTAGCTGGTGCAACCCAGCTGTGCTCGTTAGGCCAGCAGGAGAGCAAGGCATAGTTGTGCAGCGCCTTATTCCTGAGACGCTGGGAGCTGTGCAGGGTCCTGTTCCCCCACACTGAGCGCTTCACCGTGTCTTACCACCCCAAGCCTGTGCAGTGTCCTGCCCCTCTCATGCGCTAGGCGGTGCTTTCCCCGCGCTGCTTTCTGCGCAGAGGGCTCACCCACTAGGTACTGGGCAGTTTCCTGTCCCCAACTCCGCCGTGCACTGCGCAGTGGGACCCCGCCGCCGCCGGGGGCAGAGCTGGAGAGGCGCGCGGCTCGAGCTCCGCAGCGTGGTTAGATCGCAGGCGGCCAGCGAGTCGCAGCTATGCGGGCGGCGGGCGGCCGCTGGCTGTGTGCATTGGGGGCGGAGCGTGACTGTAAGGGGCGCGGCTCGGGGGCGGGGAGAGGCGCACAAGCGCCGCTGCAGCAGCTGCCCTTTGCCCACAGAAGAGGCGGGGACGCGCATGCGCACTGTGTATCCACTTCTCAGCTGGTCTGTGGCTGCTGCCGGGGTGGGCGCTTCACCCGTCCCAGGGGCCCGGGGCCTCTTCCCCCCCAGTCCTCGCGTACTGCTGCCGGGGCCACAGGGGCAGCAGCCTACCCAGCGCAGGCGCTAGAGCCCGCCGGGCCCCGGGCTCTGCTCACCGCTGTGCAATCTGCGGGCGGGCGTTAGCCAACGTCCCAGCCCGCCTCTTCGGAAGCAGGCTCCTGCGGCCGGCCGGGGCGAGCCTGAGGGAACGAGCCCGGGCGCAGCGGCTGGTCCTTGGCTGGGCGAGGTGGAGGTGCCGGGTGAGCTAGAGATGGAGCCTGAGAGCCTCGGCGCGGAGCAGGGCGCCTCTCTCCCGGGGCCCGCCGAGGAGCTGGGGACGCTGCTGGGCCAGGATGCCGCGCTGCCGAAGCTTAGCGGCGGGGAGCTGGACAGGGAGCTGGAGTCCAAAAGTGACCTGGTGAGACTGGGTTTGTGGCCCCCCTGGGATAACGCTCTGCATGAGGCGAAGCTGGGGCTCTGGCTGCGGGGAGAGACCTGACTGGGTGGGGGCCCGTGTAGAAGGGAGAGGCAGGAATCTCCGCTCAGGCTGGATGTTTACTTCCACTTACATCTGCTGCTTTTCGTGTCACGTTCACGCCTGTAAAAGGTTTGGGTCTGGTCTAAGCCACACGACTCTTCACAACTGTTTTATTGTCTTGTATGTGCTTCTAGGGTACTACTCTGTTCTTTGGGGTTGGTAGTGCCAATGGCGTGTTATCCATAGTGGGCTCAGGATACTTGAGAGAGGTAGGTGGTGGGTGAGATAATATCTTTGACTGGACATCTTCTGTTGGTGAAAGACCCAAGCTTTCAAACCCCACAGAGTGCTTCTTCAAGTTTGGGAAAGGAACTCAGAGTGTCACAACTAGATGCAAAGTGGAACAGAGTCTCAGTTTAGTGTAAGTGGCTAACACACGTTTCCAAGGACCGCTAAAGGTGAAGTAGTGATTTTACTGCCCAACACTACTATTGTGCACACTCAGCACTTCCCAGTATTGTGTCTTCACATGTCTTGTGTTACTGAAATGCAAATACACTGATCTGGTGGATTAATGGCTAGGGCACTGAACAGGAGGCCAGGGGTTCAAGTTGTCTTCCCAGCTGTGCTAGTAACTAGTTTTGTGAACTTTTGAAGGACACTATGCCTTTCTGTGCCTTAATTTTCTCATCTGAAAATGAGCTGGGGGAGGGTGGGACAGCTCCCTGCAGCTCCCCGGAAGTAGCCTGCAGCTCCTAGGGGGGAGGGAAGGCCAGGGAAGCTCAGTGCAGTGCCCCTGCCACGAGTGCTGGCTCTGCAGCCCCTATTGGCTGGGAAGCGCAGCCAATGGGAGCTGTGGAGGCAGTGCCTGCAGGCAGGGGCAGTGCACAGGGCCCCCTGGTCCCTCTGCCTAGGAGCTGCAGGAACATGTCATCATCTTCTGGGGAGCCCCCCTGAAGTAAACGCCACCCCACACCCCTGCCCCGAGCTCCCTCCCACACCCCAACTGCTGCTATTGCTTGCCCAGGGGCTGTCTGGTTCGGACAGCCCCAAGCCAGCCACACGGCCGCTGAAGAAGTCACGGAAGTAACGGAATCCAGGACCTCTGCGACAGACACGCAGCCTTAATTATGACTTTAATATGATGCATTTTAATAATTTTTTTTTTCATTTTAACTTTTAAAATATATTGTTAGTGCTTATAGGTAGGTGGCAACAGAATCATAGAATATCAGGGTTGGAAGGGACCTCAGGAGGCCATCTAATCCAACCCCCTGCTCAAAGCAGGACCAATTCCCAACTAAATCATCCCAGCCAGGGCTTTGTCAAGCCTGACTTTAAAAACTCCTAAGGAAGGAGATTCCACCACCTCCCTAGGTAACCCGTTCCAGTGCTTCACCACCCTCCTAGAGAAAAAGTTTTTCCTAATATCCAACCTAAACCTCCCCCAGTGCAACTTGAGACCATTACTCCTTGTTCTGTCATCTGGTACCACTGAGAACAGTCTAGATCCATTCTCTTTGGGACTCCCTTTATGGTAGTTGAAAGCAGCTATCAAATCCCCCTTCATTCTTCTCTTCTGCAGACTTAAACAATCCCGGTTCCCTCAGCCTCTCCTCATAAGTCATGTGCTCCAGCCCCCTAATCATTTTTGATGCCCTCCGCTGGACTCTTCCCAATTTTTCCACATCCTTCTTGTAGTGTGGGGCCCAAAACTGGACACAGTACTCCAGATGAGGCCTCACCAATGTCGAATAGAGGGGAACGATCGCGTCCCTCGATCTGCTGGCAGTGCCCCTACTTATACAGCCCAAAATGCCGTTAGCCTTCTTGACAACAAGGGCACACTGTTGACTCATATCCAGCTTCTCGTCCACTGTAACCCCTAGATCCTTTTCTGCAGAACTGCTACCTAGCCATTCGGTCCCTAGTCTGTAGCAGTGCATGGGATTCTTCCATCCTAAGAGCAGGACTCTGCATTTGTCCTTGTTGAACCTCATCAAGTTTCTTTTGGCCCAATCCTCTAATTTGTCTAGATCCCTCTGTATCCTATCCCTACCCTCCAGTGTATCTACCACTCCTCCCAGTTTAGTGTCATCTGCAAACTTGCAGAGAGTGCAGTCCACGCCATCCTCCAGATCATTAATGAAGATATTGAACAAAACCGGCCCCAGGACCAACCCTTGGGGCACTCCGCTTGATACTGGCTGCCAACTAGACATGGAGCCATTGATCACTGCCCATTGAGCCCGATGATCTAGCCAGCTTTCTATCCACCTTATAGTCCATTCATCCAGCCCATACTTCTTTAACTTGCCGGCAAGAATACTGTGGGAGACCGTATCAAAAGCTTTGCTAAAGTCAAGGAATAACACATCCACTGTTTTCCCCTCATCCACAGACCCAGTTATCTCCTCATATAAGGCAATTAGGTTAGTCAGGCATGACTTGCCCTTGGTGAATCCATGCTGACTGTTCCTGATCACTTTCCTCTCCTCTAAGTGCTTCAGGATTGATTCCTTGAGGACCTGCTCCATGATTTTTCCAGGGACTGAGGTGAGGCTGACTGGCCTGTAGTTCCCCGGATCCTCCTCTTTCCCTTTTTTAAAGATGGGCACTACATTAGCCTTTTTTCAGTCATCCGGGACCTCCCCCGATCGCCATGAATTTTCAAAGATAATGGCCAATGGCTCTGCAATCTCATCCGCCAACTCCTTTAGGACCCTCGGATGCAGTGCATCCGGCCCCATGGACTTGTGCTCGTCCAGCTTTTCTAAATAGTCCCGAATCACTTCTTTCTCCACAGAGGGCTGGTCACCTCCTCCCTATGCTGTGCTGCCCAGTGCAGCAGTCTGGGAGCTGACTCTGTTCGTGAAGACAGAGGCAAAAAAAGCATTGAGTACATTAGCTTTTTCCACATCCTCTGTCACTAGGTTGCCTTCCTTCATTCAGTAAGGGGCCCAGACTTTCCTTGACTTTCTTCTTGTTGCTAACATACCTGAAGAAACCCTTCTTGTTACTCTTCACACTTGGAGTTGCAGCTAGCAAGAGATGTTATTTGGCCTTCCTGATTTCACTCCTGCATGCCTGAGCACTATTTTTATACTCCTACCTGGTCATTTGTCCTATCTTCCACTTCTTGTAAACTTCTTCTTTTTTTTGTGTTTAAGATCAGCAAGGATTTCACTGTTAAGCCAAGCTGGTCGCCTGCCATATTTACTAGTCTTTCTATACAACGGGATGGTTTGTTCCTGTAACCTCAATAAGGATTCTTTAAAATACAGCCAGCTCTCCTGGACTCCTTTGCCCCTCATGTTATTCTCCCAGGGGATCCTGCCCATCAGCTCCCTGAGGGAGTCAAAGTCTGCTTTTCTGAAGTCCAGGGTCCATATACTGCTGCTCTCCTTTCTTCCTTGTGTCAGGATCCTGAACTCGACCATCTCATGGTCACTGCCTCCTAGGTTCCCATCCACTTTTGCTTCCCCTACTAATTCTTCCTGGTTTGTGAGCAGCAGGTCAAGAAGAGCTCTGCCCCTAGTTGGTTCCTCCAGCACTTGCACCAGGAAATTGTCCCCTACACTTTCCAAAAACTTCCTGGATTGTCTATGCACCGCTGTATTGCTCTCCCAGCAGATATCAGGGTGATTAAAGTCTCCGGGCTTGTGATCTAGTAACTTCTGTTAGTTGCTGGAAGAAAGCCTCGTCTATCTCATCCCTGTGGTCTGGTGGTCTATAGCAGATTCCCACCACGACATCACCCTTGTTGCTCACACTTCTAAACTTAATCCAGAGACTCTCAGGTTTTTCTGCAGTTTCATACCGGAGCTCTGAGCAGTCATACTGCTCTCTTAGTAGTCTCTCCATCACATCGTGAATCCTAGCTCCTGGCAAGCAGCAGACCTCTCAGTTTTCCCTGTCGGGGCGGCAGATAGATGACTGTCCCCCTGAGGAGGGAGTCACCGACCACCACCAACTGCCTCCTCCTCTTGGGAGCGGTGGTTGTGGAACCCCCTGCCAAAGCTGCCATTTGTACTGGATTGCCAAACTGTTCTTAAAAAATAAATGTAAGAAATGTTACAAATGATTCCGTTTCAGTGTACAAACCAGTTATCTACAGAGCATAAGCAGTTTACTTTTGTTTAATTGCATTAACAGTTGTTAACATTATATGGCCAAGGGGACAGTGTCAACTTGCAAATAACATTTGTCTTAAAACACCATAATTATAAGGAACACTTACAGTAATTAAAGTTTTGAGAGAAATTTCTCTTCAGTCTATTACTTTATCAAATGCACAAAAAGTATGTATACTCACAGTCACTGTTCTGGTGGTGGGCAAAGGGAAAAATGACTAGCTGAAAAGCTCTTTTTAAACATCACCAAGGAAGCAGAAAAAAGTTAAGGATTTAAAATAAATATTAGACCATACTACTCAAAGTTACTGTAAGAAACTGGAATTTCTTGATGAAAAATTGCTGACGGTAAAAGTTGATTCAAGAGTGTCTGCCATATTCCCACTCCTAGGATGTGCCCCAGACGCTGCTGGTCTTTAGATCCCTTCTAGAATAGCTATGCCCAATGTGTAAAATCAGGATAAGTCTTCCACCTGGTCTGTCTTGTCTATTTAGATTTAAGCTTTTTGAAGTAGGAACGGTCTCTTAGGGCTTGTCTATATGGTGAAATTTGCTGGCATAACTATATGCCAATATAACTCCCTATGTGGACATTAATTCTGCAGTGAGCATTCACGTGAAGAGTTGTCAGTACAACTATAGCAATAGAAATATACTTGTATAACTATAGGGCAGAGGTTCCCAAACTTTTCTTATTGCTTACCCCCTTCCAGATCTGCCAGCGTACCCCTGCCCTTCTCATCACTGACACTTTTTGTTCTTCTTAACACTACCTGTCTTTTGCTATCTTTCCATATTTCACTGTTACATACAGATAGTTATAGCCTGACATATTCAGGGTGGTTTTTTTTTCAGTTGTATAAGTCCTGAGCTCAGTTAGACTGGACAGTTGCTGGGCAACTGAATCCATGCTGTACGATGATTGGAGGTGAGGGCTCTGTATGTTAGCATCTCTGTGTTCTCATTGCTACATCTTGAAATAAATTAACTCCTGTATTTAATATAACAAATTCCCACAGAGTTTTAAACCTTCGTCTGAGTAACCTATTATGAAAATACAATAAATAAAATCCGCCATTACACAATTTCTTCCATGTATTCCCCAGAGATGTCTCACGTAGCACAATTTTTGTGAACACCGGCTTTAGTGTGTGAGCAATATCTAACACAACAGGGGTATGATCTAAGTTGGAGCCTCTAGATACAGTAGAATCCCTAGTTTACAAACTAATTAGTTTTCAAAGAGTTAATGAAATAAAAAAGCTAATAATTGAACATCTAAATTACAGTAAGCGTATGGCACACTGGATTGCTTTCTTGTCCTTCAAACCACTGCAAAGCAATTTTGAGTGCATTGAAGGCATCTGAATGTGAAGGTACAGTAGAACCTCAACGTTATGAACACCTCGGGAATGTAGGTTGTTCATAATACTGAACAAAATGTTTTGGTGGTTCTTTCAAAAGTTTACAACTGAACATTGACTTAATATAGCTTTGAAACTTTACTATGCAGAAGAAAAATGTTGCCTTCCCCTTATTTATTTTTTTAGTAGTTTACATTTAACACAGTACTGTACTGTATTTGGTGTCTTTTTGTTGTTGTTTTTTGAGGTCTCTGCTGCTGCCTGATTGTGTGCTTCTGGTTCCAACTGAAGTGTGTGATTGACTGGTCAGTTCGTAACTCTGGTGTTTGTAACTCTGAGGCTCTACTGTACATCATACTCCAGTCCAACTTCAGAAAGTTGCTAAATGAAATACATTCTGAGTTTGTGTAAAAATGTGTTTGGAAGGTGGAATAAAGAGGCTAAACTCCAATCTGTTTTGTTTTTTTGATTTAGATAGATGACAAAGAGTTTGATATTCCCCAGGTTGATACCCCTCCAACACTGGAAAGCATATTAAATGAGGTGAGTACCTGTTTAAGAGTTAAGAAATCCAGTCATATATGGTAGTGTTCCAAAATATGGAAACAGAATTGTTCATATTAATAAATTCTCTCTAAATGATGATGAAATGGAATATTGTCTTTCTGTAGTTGGCAAAATACACACACTGTGTAGTAATTATTCTGAACAGTGTGATACATTTAGATTTTGTGTTTTCTACTCGGATGATACCATCTTATATTTCTAAGATCTATTTTTTTTTAAATACTTGTATTTTTAGAAAATATTTACTGGTAGGTAGATACACAATTGGGCATACTTGTGAATAAATACATAGCCACAGAACACTAGGTATGTAGGTAAATGTTATAAATGGATCAATATTGTGTTGTCATTTGATACACATCAAAGACTACTCTTGTAGTATTGTTATATCTAGGCACCAAAATATTGTTTGCCCTCTGTGTATATGCATAGTGTGTGTTCAAGGTGGCATGTATTATACATCAGTGCATGTTGCAGCAATTGGTGAGTAGGGCAGGTTCATTTAGATCTGAATTTTTTTTTGTATGTTTTTCAGTATATAGATTCCCACACACACAACTCTGGGAATAATAAGGTTGTGACAACAATCTTTCTGCCTCTCCCTTACAAGAACAAGACTCTTTGCTTTTAAAAATTATTTTCCCCCTTCCCCCCCACCTTCAAATATTTAAAAAATGGAGCCACATCATGTTTCCTGAAGGTCTAGAGCCAAGGCATACTCTGACTTAGTTTTAGGTAATTTTGTTTTTACAGTGGATCTCTGTAGTGCCTCTGGCCTTACTTTGACATACAGCTTCCTAGATTTAGCCTCAAGATCAGTGGCTCAGTTTGGTTTAGTGTTTCGTTTTTATGTACTTAGATTAATAGGTTTTAAGGCCAGAAGGGAGCATTATGATGATCTAATCTAATCTGCTACATGACACAAGCCAGAGAATTTCACCCAGTGATCCATGCACCCTATAGCTTTTGGTTGAACTAGTGCATGTCTTTTAGAAAGAAGTGCCCATTCTTGATATTCAAGACTACAAGTGGTTGAGAATTTACCACACCCCTTAATAATCTGTTCATCTTTAATTATTTACCTTTAAGAATTGGCTTCTTATTTCCACTTTGAACATTGACTGCACATTCTAGACTCTGGCCCCCACATCTTCCGAGGGTCAGTCCCTGTCAGACTCCAGCAGTGGGGATCTCTACTAGTAATACAGGTACTCCAAGAAAAACTGGTTACCCCTTGTAACTGGCATCCTTTTGTATGGTTGCTTATAAAGCACTGTGGCTCTCTATATGTTCTAAGGTCAGAATGTTCGGTGCAAGGAAGCATGACCTTGGCACCAACAGCCTGAGAATTCCTAGAGATGAGTCATCTTCAATCTGTTTTGTCTGTCATGTTTACCGAATTGTTGCTTTTCTTTCAGACTGATGATGAAGAGGAGTCTTTCGTTCTTGAGGATCCCTCTCTTTTAAACATTGATAATATTGACACTCAGTCGTATGACACATCTTCCTTGGCAAGCTCAGACAGTGGGGACAGGACGCACTTGAAAAGGTAACTGATAAGTTGGACAGTTCTTTCTGACACCATCTTTCAGTTTTAGGTGTGAATCATGAGTATTGGAACTGATTTATCATATTTCACTGAGCACCACACAACTACATTTTCTGACTGACACTCAAGTCTATTCAGTCCATGGGATTAGTATGAGATCCAGTGGGACAAGCTAGCAGGTATTGAATTGTAAATTAGAAATGTGGTCTACTATTCAAAAGACATTTAGAACAATCCCAAGCAAAGAACCATCCAAACTTCTGTGATGAAATATTTTTCATCGAAAAGAACCAGTTTTCTCAATAAAAACCTAATCTTTCTGTTTTCTTATTGGAAGAGAACCCCCATTAAGAGGAAAATCCCTCAGTATACTTCTGTGTAAACTCTGATAGGATCAAACCCCAGTGCAGGTGTTAAAAATGGATGATGTGGACAAAGAAAAGTAATTCTGCCACAGGCTACTTCTTCCTAAGGGATCCACTAGACAGAAAGATAGACTTTTTGCACCATGGCTCTTTATATGCTGCAGTGGGCTGTGAAAACTTGCAGAACTGTGTACCGGAATCTAGACTTTCATGGCTTATTTTAAGTTTAAAAAATTATATATTGTGGTTGTAAAGAGAACCTTCCAAATGTGAACAGTGTAATTGATGAATTTGTGTGTAAACTTCCTGAAACAGTGTTTTTTGAGAGTATGTGAACTGTTCCCTCTCTTCAGTAGTGTGTTAACTTAATCACAATTTAGAGGGCAACATTGATTGTTGATTATTTAACCAATTTAACGGCTTATTATTTGTACCAGATGTTCTAGCCCCACAATCCCAAACCACTCCTGGCTCCTTCTCTGGGGCCAAAAGTTCCAGCTGCTCCCTGAAAATTTGCACAGTGCAGTGGTTATTAATATAAGATTTGATGGAAAAAATGATAACTTGGGGCAAAATAAAACGATTTGAATGTGAAGTCAAATAAGACACAATGACATACTGATTATTTTCATAGGTAAAAACAATTTTTTTATCAAATTCAGTTTGCCTGAAGTGCTGATGTATTATTTCCAGTTTGCTGTACAGTACTGCAGAAACCAGAAGGCCTTGCTGCAGGCTTTAGGCCAAACTAACTGCAGGGTACGTGGATTTTGACAATAGCATAGGCCATACTAAAAAAACTTATGATTTTCAAAAATAGCCTAACAAAGTCCACATGTGAAGTCCTAAATGTGTGGTTTCACTCACAGAAGTGCTGAACACCCAGGAGTTCTCTCAGAGGCCATTTTTGAAAATCTGTGTATATGTAAGAATTTACAATTAATTTATAGCATCACAATGAGGCCCTGTGTCAATGGGGCTTTATTAGTACATTATAATGTAAATACAGTACATGTATCGCATACAGCCCCCAGCTAAAACCTCTCCAGCACATTATCAACGATCTACAACCTATCCTGGAAAACAATCCCTCCACTCACAGACCGTGGGAGGCAGGCCAGTCCTCACTTACAGACAACCCCCCAACCTGAAGCAAATACTCACCAGCAACTACGCACCACACCACAGAAACACCAACCCAGGAACCAATCCCTGTAGCAAACCTCGTTGCCTACTCTGTCCTCATATCTACTCTAGCGACACCATCAGAGGACCTAACCACATCAGCCACACCATCAAGGGCTCATTCACCTGCACGTCTACTAATGTTATATATGCCATCATGTGCCAGCAATGCCCCTCTGCCCTGTACATTGACCAAACCGGACAGTCCCTACGTAAAAGAATAAATGGACACAATCGGACATCAGGAATGGTAACATATGAAAGCCAGTAGGTGAACACTTCAATCTCCCTGGATATTCTATAACAGATTTAAAAGTAACTATTCTTGAACAAAAAAACTTCAGAAACAGACTTCAAAGAGAAACAGCAGAACTAAAATTAATTTGCAAATTTAACACCATTAATTTGGGCTTGAATAGGGGCTGGGAGTGGCTGGCTCATTATAAAAGCAGTTTTGCCTTTCCTGGAATTGACACCTTCTCATCTATTGGGCGTGGACTACATCCACCCTGATCGAATTGGCCCCGTCAACACTGGTCCTCCACTTGTGAGGTACTCCCTTCTCGAAAGCTTATGCACAAATAAATCTGTTAGTCTTTAAGGTGCCACCGGAATCCTTGTTGTTTTTGTGGATACAGACTAACATGGCTACCCCCTGATACTTGTACGTACAGTAACACTTTAAAATATGCTTGAATTTGTTTATCGGGGAAAATAAGTTTCCAGTTTTACTGTTCTTGGCTGGTTTAAAAACATTAACTTTCAAATCAAATGAAACTGTTCAACCTAAGAGTTCAATTAAGTTTTAAAATCTGTGTTTAATGCATAACACTGATAGTTAAGATTGCCTGGCTGTCCCTGTTCTAATGGGCCATGTTCAACTCCTTGTAATTTCTCAAACTTTCACTTTTCAGGCACAACTTTCCACAACTAATCTCTGCCCAAGGGTGATTATTTAAAAAAAAAAAAAAAAAAAAAAAAAAAATTAACATTTCATCCATTTTCAAATATGAAGTGTGAAAACAATCATTTGCCAACTTTTATTAATAGTTCTGATGCTTCAGTGTTTGTGGGGGAAATCATTTGAAATTGAGAGAATTCTTAAAAGCTTGAAATTGATCTTTTTGGAGGGGTGTTAATATTTGGTCAAATTAAAGGGTTAACAAAAAGACAAAGCAGACACACTAACTTTTTAACAAGGCAGGTTTTGTTTTAATGATCTCTTTCCCTTTGGTTTTGTGCTTGTGTGCATCAGAAAGTTGTATGTCAAGTGAGAAATCCATTCAAGTGCTTGTGGAATCTCACTTGATATACAAGTGCTTGTGGAAGATTCGACAAGCAAGGCAGGGCTCCAAACCTCACTCCATATCATTTGTGAAAATATATATATATATATATATATATATGGAGATATCCTATCTCCTAGAACTGGAAGGGACCCCGAAAGGTCATCGAGTCCAGCCCCCTGCCTTTACTAGCAGGACCAAGCACTGATTTTGCCCCAGATCCCTAAATGGCCCCCTCAAGGATTGAACTCACAACCCTGGGTTTAGCAGGCCAATGCTCAAACCACTGAGCTATCCCTCCTGCCCCTCTCATTGCATGGTTTGGATAGTGTGTGGTAAATGAGGTGATTGCAACCATTAGTAACTTTTTCCTGTAAACTTAGATGCTGGGATTTATTCTGGACTAACAACATTTTTACTCTTTTTAGAAAGAAAAAGCTCCCTGATTCTTTCTCTCTTCATGGATCGGTTGTCCGTCTTTCTCTTCTGAAAGGAATTTCTGCCCAAATAGTATCTGCTGCGGTAAGTGTTTTATTCCTTCAGCAAAATAATCAATCGAGTTACAATGAACAGGAATGAGAATATAAATTAGTAAATAAAAACAGTACCTACTTTGGTAAGAACGTCATGTGTGGAGTTCTACTTCATCGGTTTCACACTGTGCGCTCTAGCTTCAAGTAATATTCTGTACCTCTGAGCTTAATGATGAGGCAAAGGAGTGGTGCATTGAGTCAGGATAGCTCGTTTCTCGCAGTGCTCATCCACAGCCTCTGGAAGGAAAGTGAGTCACAAAGGAAATGGCTATTAAAGAATGCATCTCAAAGAAAAAGTTCAATGAAATATAAACCTGTGTGGTCCAGTCCAGTCTAGTCACTCCATCTAGTTATAAAGAAAAGTAAATGGCTAAAGTGTTCTTAAATAAAGACAGATCAAAGAGGCAACTCCCTCATGACCATATTAATGATACAAAGACTGAAAACATCACCTGTTCATTAAGAGAAAAGTTTATGAACCACTGAAGGGGAGGGGGTAACTTTCTTGAAATCTCTGATTAACTAAATAGTAGGAAAGCTAGCTGTTGTGCTAACCAAATAAGCTTGTCTTACTGTCCTGAAATTTATTTGCAGTGTTTTCTGCCAAAAAAGTAGATTTTTTTTCAGCACTAGTTTGCTTCATTAAATGGATGATGATACTGAAACAGCTTATGGTCTGACTGATCCCTGCCCTTACAAGCCTAATTGGTTATAATGCATGCATCCACTTTTTTACAGTTGTAGTCAGAGGGACTATATTAATTCTGACCTCAGTCTTGCCACGTAAAGAAAACACAGTATTGACTGTACTGCTACACTGACCCAGAGGAAATGTCTGTCTGAGATCAGAGTTGAAGTTGCTTGTTTTTATGGATTTGAATGTGTGCCAAGTGGGAGGCTGTATACTGGAAATAAAAGGGAGTTTTGGTTTGGTCGTGACTGTCATGCTGTCTGGAATGGCTCATGACTGAGTGCCTGCCTCAGGGCAGACTGTAAAAAGCAAGGCAGACACCCAAAACTGGTAGTACACCTCTACCCTGATATAACGTGACCCGATATAACACAGTAAAGCAGTGCTCCCGGAGGGCGGGGCTGCACACTCTGGCGGATCAAAGCAAGTTCGATATAATGCGGTTTCACCTATAACGCGGTAAGATTTTTTTGGCTCCCGAGGACAGCGTTATATCGGGGTAGAGGTGTATGTTCTGTAATTGTATGTCACCAATCAAGTACCAAATGTGAACTCCCAAAGTACTTCAGTAGTTTTATAAGGGAATTGCAGACAATCCCGTTAGACGCTCCAGTCTATCTTGCCACCAAGGCAAGCTGCGCTATGTGATAAATGGTCACTTACACTAAAAATCACAAATATTCCAGGTTACTCTCAAGAGACCAGTCACCCAGGTAGATTTACATCCCAGGTCTCACACCAAAAGCAGTGCTGGCAGCCAATCCTATAGTACGCTAACTAAAGGTTTATTAGCTAAGAAAAAGGAATGAGAGTTAGAGAGGCTAAAGTAGGTAAAAGATATATGTACAGGTGAGTCACAGTCTATAATTCCAAATGATAGCAGAGATGTAGTAATCTGCAGAGAGAAAGGAGCATGTTTTGCATTTTTGATCATCACACGCTGACCGGTTGCCTTCAGTGCACAAGAATTAGTACTTTCCTGTTAGTTTTTCATTTGGATTACACAAGACTTCTTTCTTGTTTGATGGGTTATTTAGTTACAGGGATATATAAAATGTTTGCTATTACATTATAACAGGATACAGATAAGTGAAAACAATGCATGTAATATCCAATTAGTTTTCATGAAGTTTAAACACCAAATACATTCTTATGCATTTAACTATCACTTCTGTATTAGTATAAATACAAGTGAATTGTCTAGCTTCCAGCTGTGAGTTTGACAGTTCTCAGATGATCCCTAGGCTTTTGCATGATCTGGCATCTGGTCTGCCAGTGTTAGTGAGGAGCCAGAGTGCATTGAGGTAGCAAGATTTAATTTTGTGGTAAAATATATTAGTAATTATCCACACAGATTCTACTCCTGGGGCATGTATACCCCATGTGCATGAAATCAGATTTAAAAAAAAAAAAAAAAAAAAAAAAAAAGGAAAGTTGGCGGGGGCCCCTTGTGTCCTCCCGGCTACCGTAGCAGAGGACATAAGTGGTAGGGCAGTCGTAATCGCCGCTCAGTTCCATCGTGCCATGGGTGGTAAGAAGGAACGCAAGTACTGTCTGTGTCTTCGAGCAACAATTTCTCCTATCTCACTTTGTGAACTCGTTTAGCTTTCTTAAACTTTGTTTTTATTTTACTTTATTTTTGTTCATCATGGTGACTTCCAAGTCTCCCATCTTTAATACCTGCCCCTCATGCAACTCCACTGTGCCCACTAATGATGTGCACTGCAGATGTCTCACCTGCCTGGGAGAGGAACACAACAGAGCATTGCTTGATATGCTAAAAAGATTCTCAAGAACAGAGAGGCAAGGCTGCGCTGTTCTTGATGGAGATATCTATGCAACCCCAGTCTTTCCCCCAAGAAGCCTGGGAAAGCTCAACTGCTCCTGTTCTCAGCACTGGCTAGCTGTTGTACCACCTCTACCTCTCATGCGTTCTCCTCCCACAGATGGCATTCAGGCACCAGGGAGAGGGAGAAAGAAGCACCACTGCAGTCAGGACATCAGATGAAAAATTGCCTTCCTTCCCTGAGTATGAGACTCAGATCTTCTCAGGTTCCCTCTGCTAGGAAGTGCAGCCTCAAGCCTTTTGCTGGTTCCTTGGCATCAACGACTCCTTCATTCCAAAAGGACTGTGGTGCTTCTGGCATGGTGTCTGCACTGTGTGCTTTAGCACCAAGACCCTTGGTGACTACCACCTACCATGTCACTGAGCACTTCCTTGGCACTGCTGTCGACTTGGTACCTGGTGCCATCCTGGTACATCCTGGTACTGGTGAAACTTTTCATCGATCTGGTACCAGAATCTACTCTCTTGGACCATTTTGAGAGACGTCTTGTATCAGCCATCTACTTTGGCTTTGTTCCATCTGGTACAGTGCAGACCTGATAGTCTGGACAGGATTGCCTCTCTTATGGAGGAGACCTATGTCTACTTGTCCTCACTTGAATGCACTGAGGGCTCCTCTACCTCCAGATCCCGATCTCCGCCCTGGGTGAGCCAATGGGAATTTAGTGGACAGCCCAGAGAGTACTATAAAGGTGAACATAGGAGACCAGTACATTCCAAAGAGCATCTTTCACAATATCCTCTACAGTTTAACAACCCTTGAGCATGAACTCCTACTCTGGAAGAGACCCACTTCTTTTGTTTCTCAACCAATACCCCCTTCTCTGAGGAAACAATGTCAGCCTCCTCTAACTGCTCCACTTCCCCAACCACAGCAGAGGAGTACTTCAGTTGGAAAGACCAACTTTCTCCTGACCAGGAACCACCAACCTCCTCAATAATTTTCCTTGTCTCTGGGTGAAGCTGTTAACGTATCTTCAGTCTCAAGATGAGTTTAATTTTCCAGGATCTCCTCAAAGTTCTCAGCAATCCTTTTGGACATCCTATCTGAGATAATTCAGGAGGAAAAAAGGTAAATTGTTGGATGTTCTCCACATTGCAAGGTGGGCTGGATAGCAATGCCCATAAACGAGGGTGATCTTTTGCTGGTGAAGGAGATCTGGCATACTCCCACCTCCATCCCACCCACCTCAAAGCAGATAGGAAATGCTAGCCCCCTGTGAGGGGATTTGAGGGTTTCTTCCAAAACCTGACACCTGGCTACAGGTGGCCCAGGAGAAATCTAAACAGGAAGGAGCACCGAAGAATATGCCACAAGAGAAGGACCGCCCCCAAAATTGTACCTGTTTGTCCACAATGTCTATTCTTGTCAGCCTCCAGTTGAGTGACTAATTATATCAAGTTTTGCTTTCAAAGCCTGATTTTTTTTTTTAATTTCCCCTCTTCCCCCCCCCCCATCCCCCAATCTTTGGGAGTGATTCTCAAACCTTCTGAACAACTTGCCACGGGAGAACACTAGGAGGAATGAAGACCTTGATGGTAGAGGTGCAGCTGGCCACCATGACCTTCTTGGTTATGGTGGCAGGGACCATGGCATCTGGCATTACCATGAGACCTGCTTCCTGGATCCAGACACCTGAAATCCAATGGGAGATCAAAACCACTATAGAGGACCTCCTATTTTGAGGTGACTGATCTTCTCTCTCCCTTTGCGCGTCCCCTTCCCCCCAAACACTACAGTCAAAACATCAGTCTTAAGGGTGCTAAGGCGACTCTTTGACCGTTGGGCCTTTGTGTTCCCACATCGTGTTTTTACTTCACAGAGAAAGCAGCCCTACTACAAGTGCAAATCCAAGTCACAGTCCTACACATAACAATGGTTTTCTGAGCCTCCATGCAAGAGACAGAGGTTCCTCAGACCTTGCTCAGTCCTCCTCCATCCCACGTGCTGCACCTCCTTAAAGAACTGGTTTTGATGTGAGTGAGAGCCTGGCAGAACGTTTTATGGTTTGTCCTTTCCCCATCCACCCCTTTGAGAACCTTCTTCCTGAGGAACTGGATGAGAATAACCTCAGACCAGTGGGTCCTCAAGGTATTAAGTCAAGGGTATTCCATTCAGTTTCTGCCTACCCCCTTCCCCATCTCCTTTCAGGGACCACTCTTACAAGTGTTTTTTTGGAACAGTTTATATGAGCTCCAGTGGACTGCAAGTCTTCAAGAGCTTATCAAATGACCAGTGCCTTCCAACCATGGTAGATTCTATCAACCATCTCTGCAAGCACCCCAGAACACCAGCGAAGTCGTGTCTTAAACTCATGGGACATATGGAAGTGTGTACTTATGTTGCACAGCATGCCAGACTTCACCTCTAGCTGCTAGAAAGCTGGTTGAAATCAGTATATCCACCCAGAAAATGCAGGATGGACCAGCTTATCACTGTCCCTGTAGAAGTCCCCATCTTTTTTAAACTGGTGTACAGATCTGTTCCAAGTGTGCAGTGGAGTTCCAGTCTCTCTCTGTTGCCACCAAGATAGTAATAACAGATGCTTCCATTTTGAAGCGGGGAGCTCATCTCGGCCATTTAAAAGCCCAAGGACAAATGTCACTGTTCGAGAGCTTGCTGCATATGAACGTACTGGAGTTCAGGGCAATGTGATTCGCCTGCAAGGCTTTCTTTCCTCTTCTCTAGTGTCTCCCTGTCCACATAGTCACTGATGACATCACTGTGAATTACTACACCAACATGCAGGGAGGGGCAAAGTCATCTCCACACTGCCAGGAAGTGCTGTATCTGTTGGAATGGTGCTTTGTCCACCAAATCACATGAGTCTATCCACCTTCCTGGCCTGTGAAACACCTTGGCAGATTGTCTCAACAGGACTTCCGAAAGCATTACTAATGGTTCCTCAGCAATTCTGTTCTACACAGCATCTTTCTGAAATGGGGATAGCTGTCGATGGGGCTATTTGTGATGTACAAGAACGGCAAGTGTTTGGCATTCTGCTCGTGGGGGGTGGGGAGTAGGCCCAGGTTTGCAGATGGATGCATTTCTCCTCCTACGGACTACACTCTGTACTTTCGTGCATGTTCACATAATCCCCAGAGTCCTCAGGAAACTCAGGCAGGATTAGGGCTATGTCATCTTGATAGCCCCAGCAAGACCCAGACAGTTCTGGTTCTCAGATCTGGTGAGCTTTTGTGGATCCACCGATAAGCCTCTCTCTCCTTTCCAACATACTCTCTCAAAATCAGGGCCAGATACTGCACCTGAACCTGGCCTCACTGCATCTGACTTTGTGGATGCTGGTTGGATTAACCCCCTAGAGAGAGAGAGTTCATCTGACGTCCAGGAGATCTTCCTACAGAGCAGGAAGCCCTCTACCAGACTCACTTACGCTGCAAAGTGGAAAAGATTTTCCATCTGGGCTTGGTTAGGGTACATGTGGTGGCCATCTCTGCAGATGACCCATGGGTGCAGGGTTACATTATGTTTGTTCACCCTACGGTATCAAAATTTCTCCAGGGTCTCCCACATTTTCACCCCAGTCAAGGAGCCTCCCCCTTCCTGGGATTGCAATCTGGTTCTAACTGGTCTGATGGGGAACCCTCTTTGAACCCATGGCAACCTGCTCTCTGTTCCTTATGTCCACACAGATGCCATGACCTGCTCTACATCCCTGCTAATCAGCGTCCCACTTCCTGGGATTCTTATTGGCAAAGGAACTGAGTGGTGATTGAGGCCGCCCTGCCTCTTAAGCCCCATCTTTAAGGGGCACAGGTGCAGCCACAAAGGATATTGCTATTAAAAAATAATGCAATCTCACATGCCTGGGGCACGTGCGCGGCAAGAATAGAATCGGTATGGACAATGCATCTCAAAGAACCATGGGGTAAGTAACGGTTCTTTTCATTTAGTTTGGCTTGAATCTTAATGCTGCTGCAGCTGGTGATTTCTCAAGTTCTATTAAATTACATTAATAAGAAATGCAGTTGAACAATATTAACTTAAAGTGAATATTTTTTGTGTGGTAGGCTAAAGCTAATTGTGTATCTTGATGTTTTTTCTTTGAAGTGAGTGCAAATAACCTTCTTCACTTGGGGGTGGGGGGGGGTTACATTTCCCATGGAATCATGGGGTTCCATAGCTATTCCCACAGCTTCTCTCCTGCCTTTTGTGGGGCAGTTCCACAGGGAGGTTCACACTATGCTGCTGATGTAGTGTCCTCCTCATTGTAGTGTTGGTGCTGCTGTTAGAGCACAGTGTGTATGAGAGGCAGCACAGAGCGATCCTCCAGTCAGTACAGCTGCACTTTTTTTTTTTTTTTTTTTTTTTTTGGAGTGAAATGTTTTCAGGGAAGTTGCTCTTGCTGCTTTTTTTTTTTTTTTTTTTTTTTTTTTAAACAGAAACGTACCCAGGGAAGGAGCCCTGCCTCCTTTTACTTTATTAATAATGACTTTTCTGTCACTGTAGGACAAAGTGGATGCTGGTTTACCTACTGCAATAGTAAGTACTGAAAGAACTGTAAAATACAGTATAGTAAATCTTCCTGTTACATCTGTGGTCCATCCCTTGTACTCCATAGTGAAGTATTGAAATGTTGACATTTTCATCTCTTGCCTTCTCCAAGAAGATGGCATTGATTCACACCCAGAATCTTAAGCATGCAGGGCAGAAGGAGTAGCCTGAGACACTTCACTTATAGCAGTGGAGTTCTACCCTCTTCCCTCACCCCCACTATTGTCATATTGAGGGCAATGTCATTTGGGAAGCTTCCGTTGATCACTTGTCCCACAAGTTTCTGCCTTTTTTCAGACCATGACCAAGGCTTGTTACTTAGGCTACGGCTACACTACTGAGCTTACAGTGGCGCAGCTGCTAGTGCAGACACTCTAAGTTGATGGGAGAGAGCTCTCCTGCCAACATAGCGCTATCCACACCAGTGGTTAGGTTTGTGTAACTTGTGTTGCTCGGGGGGTGGCTTATTCACACCCTTGAGTGATATAACTTTTATATAGCTTAAGTTGTAGTGTATACGTGAACTTAGGCACTAATATTTTCCCATTGAATGTGACATAAAAGCTTGGCAAATGTCAATGCCAAGTGTCCCGTGATATTTCCTCCCTACCAGTCATTACTTAGACTGAAATAAATAATTAGGGCTACAATTTTATCATGGATATTTTTAGTAAAAGTTAGGGACAGGTCATGGATAATAATAATAATAATAATTAATAATATAATTAAAAAAAAAATCACGAAGTCGTGACCTGTCCCTGACTTTTACTAAAAACATCCCTGACAAAATGAGGAGGGTCCAGCACCCTGCCCCTCCCCTGCAGCTGCAGTGACTGGGAGCTCCAGGAACCCTATTGCCCAGTGGCTGGGAGCTGTGGAGGGGGTCCCCCTGCAGGGCTGGAGCTGGGTGGGATCCCCCCATTGCCCTGCAGGGCTAGGAGCTGGGGGGGGGCCCTGCCAGGGGTGGTAGCTGGGGAGCTGCGGGGAGCCCCCGCAGCCTCTGAGCAGGTCTGGGGTCCCTCTGCTGCCACCACAGATGTCTGGGAGCTGCAGAGGGGCCCTGGCTGCTCGCAGCAGCTGGCCAGCTTGGGGTCCCCCAATGTCATGGAGGTCGCTGGAAGTCATGGGGGCCCCAATGTCACAGAGATTGCTCTGCTACCTCCGTGCAATAATTGTAGCCTTAAAAATAATCATTCCTGGTATCTGTCCAAGGTCCTCCAACATCAACTAAGTGTCATACCATAAACTGCATACTATGTTGTTGTAGCCATGTTGGTCCCAGGATATTAATTAGAGAGACAAGGTGGGACAGGTAATATCTTTTATTGGACTAACTTCTATTGGTGAGAGAGGGAAGCTTTCAACCTTACACAGAGCTTTTCTCGGTGTGAGCTCCAAAGCGTCCCTCTCTCACCAACAGAGGTTGCTCCAATAAAAGATACTATCTCACACATCGTAAACTGTAGAACATACTGGAAGCCAGTATGATCATAACCATCTTATAGCAACTCAATTTAAAAAAAAAAAAAAAACTCCCACCATGCCTTGGTTAAAAACACTATTAAAGTTGTGGAGTCAAGCACTCCAGCTAGGAAACATCAGAATTAAGGTTGCCTATGGCTGAGGAATAAGGGAAATCAGTTTTTAAGAGAAATGCCATATTTAGGATGCCTGTCTCCTTAGAGAATCTTTGATGTAAGTGTAACAGTTCATAGGGGTAGGGTGAACCAAAGAAATAAATTTATGTGCAGTATTCTAACAATGTCTAAGGAACAAGGAGGATCACTGAAATCCAGGTCTACTATTTACAGAACAAATTGGAAATGTCTACTGTGTGTACGGGGACATGCATGTATATAAAACCTGAACTTAGAAGCTCCTGGTTTTCAAGCATTTTTTTTATCTACAATGTTTTCAAAGCTTTATAGCAGAAGACACAAATATATCTTTACAACGTTTAACTATATTCCTGACTTTGGGGCACTTAAAGCTGTATCCAACTCCTCATTGAAGTCATTGGGAATTTTTCTGTCTGTCAGTTGAACTGGGCCCTTTATGGGGATCAGAGAATTGCTGAGGGTGCACTCAAACTGTAATCCTTGGATATGAAAAACAGGGAATGCACTCCTGTGCCAGACAACAGGAGTGATATTAACCTCACATAGAGGAAATCTACTGTCTGTGTTTTTCCCCACCCTGTTTCAAGGGTGGGGAAAAACAGGGTGGGGAAAATACAGCACTGTGCTCAAATTAAGGAATGATGAGGTAAATGACAGTCCTAGAGTCATAGAATATCAGGGTTGGAAGGGACCTCAGGAGGTCATCTAGTCCAACCCCCTGCTCAAAGCAGGACCAATTCCCAACTAAATCAAATCAATTATTCTAGCTTCAGCTTCCACCCATTGGCTGTTGTTCTGCCTTCGTCTGCTAGACTAAAGAACCTCTACTATCAGAAATCTGCCTGCGTAGGTACTTATAGACTGTGATCAAGTTGTCGCTTAACCTTCTTTTGAATAAACAAAACGGATTGAGATGTAAAATTATATTTTAATAGCAGTATTGTGATGGTTGGTTGATACAGATATTTTGGATTGTATGCATTTGATACTTGTCTGTGGGAAGCTTGCTGTAATGTACGCTGCTGTCTGTAGCTTTCTAAAATGGTTTTCCCTTTGCTGATTAACTTTGAACAGCTGCGATAAAGATGCTGACTGGGCTTAAATCATGGACTTGTGGCAGTTTGACATTTCAAAATTTAACTTTTCTCCATGTTCTGTTCAGGCAGCGTCAAGTCTGATAGCAGTGGGGACTTCCCATGGTTTGGCATTAATTTTTGGTAAGTTAAAAATACCATTTTGGTTTCTTCAGCATTCAAATGCCATTCTGAATTTCATATTTTAATATTTAATTTACCTATTAAATATTAATTCATTTAAGTAAAGAACTATAAAAAATACAGGGTCAGAAACATGACAAAAAAACTAGCATTTTTTTTTAAAGCAATTTAAGTGTCCATTCTATCATTTGTCTATTTTTTCCTTCAACTTTATAACAAGTTGTCAGGTTGACTAGAGTTCACTCAACAGAAATCTCATAGGCCTTCTGGAATGTTTCTTATCTTCTAGGCAATTGTTATTATAGAAGTCTCTGATACTTAATGAAAATTCATCATTTTGGTTTAACAGAATATTAAGGCAATATAAACAAGATCAGCATAAATTTGTCTTACAATGTTTATCATCTTTTTGCTAGCATTTCTCCTAACTTTTCAAATAATAGATTCCTTGTTATCAGATCACATCCTGACTTAGACTCAACATGTCCTGCCAACATTTAACAATGTAATACATTTCTTAGCTATTACAATTGCTGATTTTATAATCTTATTGGACTGACACTCAAGGTGAGAGAAATCTGCTATTAAATATTATTCTGGGCTGAGGATAAAATCAAACTTGAACAAGAATTGGTCCTATTTGTTATATGCTTACTTAAATGTAAACTGTAATCAAAAAGCCAAATTTGCATGATTCACTTTGAGTGTGAGATACTTTTGAAGCTAGCAGAAGTGGTAGCACACAGTGCTCTATTCTCTCAATCCTATCCAACCATACCAGTGGAGTGAGTGTGTGTGTGTGTGTGTGGTGGTCTGAGGTACTAGTGGTGACTAGAGCACAGGACTGGGAGCCAGGAACTGCTGAGTTCTCATCCTGGCTGACCTTGGGAAGAACTGTTTGTGCGAGCCCCATATCATAGCTGGGAGATACTGCTAAGCATAATTCCCTGTCTTACAGGGATATTGTAAAGATCAGTTTACATCAGTAGGATACAGTGCTTTGGACCTGTAAAGCACTATATACGTGCAAACTACTTTGTTCCTCCTTTGTCTCTTTTCTTCTTTACAGAGAATCAGTACAGAGAATGTTTCCATACACCTCCATCCAAAGCACAAAGGAAAAGACCGAAGCAATATCTATAAAATCTCAGAACAATATATATGTAATACTGCTTCAAAAACATCCAATCATTTACAAACTCTTTAAGGCACATCAGAAACCTTGCTTTGATAAAGTGAGAGAAAGCTGTCTGTAAAACTACTGTATGAATTTTTAAAATGTAGAATTTGGACATTTAATGTTGCATTAGTCAGGGCCGGCTTTAGGCCGATTCAGGCGATTCCCCTGAATCGGGCCCCGCGCCCTTGCTGCCGCCGGTACGCCGGCTTCCCCAGGGGGCAATTTAAAGGGCCTGGGGCTCCCAGCAGGGGCTGGAGCCCCAGGCCCTTTAAATTGCCACCAGAGCCCCACTTCTGGAGCCCTGGGGTAGGGCTGCGGGGCTCTGGGGGCTATTTAAAAAGTCCGGGGCTCCCCTTGCTTCTACCGCCTCGGCCCTTTAAATAACCGCTGGAGCCCCGCCACTTCCCCAGGGCTCCCACAGCTATTTAAAGGGCTGGGGCGGTAGAATCAGGGGAGCCCCAGAGCCCTGGGATAGCGGGTGGCTGTAGCGGCTATTTAAAGGGCCGGGGCTCTAGCTGCCTCTGCCGCCCTGGTCCTTTAAATAGCCGTGGGAGCCCTGCTGCTTCCCCAGGGCTCTGGCAGCTATTTAAAGGGCCAGGGCGGTAGAAGCAGGGGAGCCCCTGCCCTGCCCGCAGCAGCAGCCAGCCCCTGCTGCACCCCCTGCCCGCACCAGCCCCGCACTCCTGCCCTGCCCGCAGCCAGCCCTTGTCTCCAGCCAGCCCCGCACTCCCTGCCCGCAGCCAGCCCTTGCTGCACCCCCTGCCCTGCCTCCAGCCCCGCACCCCCTGCCCTGCCTGCAGCCAGCCCCGCCTTCCCTGGCTGCGTGTGCACCACGGCCACCCCGGAGCCGCTTTAGGTAAGCGGTGCTGGGCTGGAGCCCGAACCCCTCCTGCACCCCGTCCCCCAACTCCCTGCCCTGAGCCCCCTGCCTGCACCCTGCACCCCATGCACCCCAACCCCCTGATTGAGCCCTCTGCCTGCACCCCAACCCCCTGCCCTGAGCCCCTTCCTGCACACCGCACCCTGTCCCGCACTCCCTCACGCACCCCAAACCCCTGCCCTGGCCCTGCATACAATTGCCCCACCCAGATGTGGCCCTCGGCCCAAAAAGTTTGCCCACCCCTGTTCTATTCCCTAGTTTATATATGTGACATTCCCCAGGGTATAATCTAGGCAGATGGACAAATGTGTCCCCTCAATTCTCCAACCTGGGGTACCTTTTACACTGCTTCACTCTGAGAGCAACCACTCCTGGTCTGTCCACACACAGCCTCCGGCATGTAAATCATCATCATCTTCTTTTGTATGGCTTGGGTAGGTAGCAATAACTACAAATTTATATCTAAGTTTGATAGCCAGCACATTGCTGCAGCAGTGAGCTGGTGAATGTCCTTCAGGCCCCCAGCAAAAGAGCGAAGGGGACATTCAGATATGATGTGCTCTATCGTTTTTGCCCAGAGACCACAATCACATACAGGTGTTTGCCTCATTTTCCATTTAGAGGGTTTGTCCACATCTCCCATGAGATGTCCTGATGCGATTCAATCTGCACCAGTTTTTCCGACATAAATTTCGGAAAGCATGTAAATCACTCCATTATACTGTGAGTGCTATAGCCGTGAATTACACTGTGGATAACACAAGTAAACTCCCAGTTCCAGACCATCCAAAGAGATGTTCATCTTTTACTGCCCAGTACTCTCCTGGACAATACAAGCTCATATAAAGTCTGTCATTTCATTAATAGAAAATGATATGCCCAAATCTTATCTAAAATGGAGTTCCCCAACCACTTCAATCCAGACACACACTGGTTTAGATAAAACAAGTTTATTAACTACAGAAAGATAGATTTTAAGTGATTTCACATAACAAGGCATAAAAGTCAGAATTGGTTACAAAGTAAATAAAAGGTAGAACAATCTAATAACTAACTTAACAAGCTAAGTTAATTCAAAGCAAAGGTTTCTCTCACCATATGCTTTAGCAGTCTTGCTGGCTGAAATCCTTTCACTCAGGATCTCTTCCCCAGTTCAGTGTTAATTTCCCTGTCCTTCAGGTGGCGTTGATGCCGTGAGTAGCGATGAAGGGAGAAAGATTTTTGGGGCCTCTGCTCTCCTGTTTTATAGCTCTCTTTTCCTTTGAAAATTATCTCCAGCTGAGGTTCAGGAGACAGCCAGTCTGTGGAGAGGGAACCTCTAGCTGTTCATTGCCAAGATGTAAATTTCTCACTCTCCCCCGTTTTCCTGCCAAAGAATGACCACTTAACCAGGTAATAGTCTATTTGATTTCATTGACACCTGGCTGAGGCATCAGTGTGCCTTTTGTTTCTGAGGAACTGGTTTCTGGCTGTTTCCCCAGCTTTAGAATATGTCCTAGTAACATCCTACAGTAGAATCTTATAATTTTACATACAGTGTTGCCACACACATTTTGCCAGGACAATAATGATCAGCAAATTGAGTTTTCTAATGATACCTCACAAAGCATACTTTTTACAAAATCCATTATAGTTTTGTAAAAAGGGTGAGCATAGGGGTTCAGACTGACACAATATATCCACATATTTTGGCCCGTTTGGTCACATGATCACACTGGGAGTTCATATGCAGTTGTTAATGACCCCAAGTTCTTTTCAATACAGCTAAATGCAAAGTCATACATATAAGAGAATGCTGATCAGACTTATAGCAAGTGGGATTGCACCCTAGAAAGTAGTGACACTGAAAAGTATGTTTAACTGTGCCCAGCTTATCAAGTGTTCTGCATCAGTGATTATTCTTGTATCATGTATCGGCCTTTCCAGTATTTTGCCCATGATCAGGGTCTGGCTTACTGGCCTATAATTATAGGACTCATCCTGTTTACCCTTTATAAATATTGGCACAACCTTGACTTCTCTTAATTTAATAAAAATTAACATTATTGGTCTGGAGCACTCCTCAACCAACTCATTTAAAATTCTTGAGTACAGATTATTCACACTTACTGACTTTTTTAAAAATGTTTAGTAGATTCTATTTTCCAGTGGTAACTAAAGATCATATTTAAGAGGGCATTTCATCATATATATATTATGGATATGTCATCAGCTTTGTTCTGAATACAGAACAGAAATATTTACTATACACTTCTCTTTTAGATAAAAGCTTTCAAAACTACTTAGCAGAAAACAATAGCTCTTACCCTAGGACTGTCAAATCATCTTATAAAGGTAGGAGAAACTGAAGGAGACTACTGAGGAGGGATTTTTTCAAGTCCACCTTTATAGAGATATGGGGATTGCCTTGCAAGATCCAGACCAGTGGTCTGTGTATAGTCAGGTGTCCAGTTTCCAACTGTATTCAGAGGCCAATACAAGAAATGTCTTAGTAGAAAAATCTGTCCGGGGAGGAAATTTCTTCCTAACTCCTGTCAGTGGTTGAGTTACACCCTGAGGCATGAGTGTGTGTGTTTGTTTGTTTTTGTTTTTAATAGCCTTTATAAATGTTCATCCTTTATAATGTAACTGTGGAAGTTCTAATTGTTATATATCCAATCTCTTTTGAAGGCTCCAAAGTTCTTGTCCTCTATCTTGTAGAAGTGTGTTCCACAGGCTAATTTTGCATTGTGTTTTAAAAGTAAAAATATTTTTAATCTGTTTTTAAATTTGCCCTTAATGTCATTGAGTGACTCCTTGTTCCATTATGTATTGGTAAATAAAGGCCAGTGTCTGTCTCTTCTCTATACTCTCTATAGAGTATTTTTCTTTATACTGTCAGTTCCCTCTTGTTTCCTCTGAACAGTTCACATCTTCGTTTCTCTTCATATGACTGATTTTTTTTGTGTGCCTCTGATGGCTGTTGCTTTTCTTTAAACTCTTCTATTTCTGCAACATCTCTTGAAAACTGAATATATTCAGACAATAGATTTATATGAATATTAGACTACATGTCTGAGGCTGAAGGGAGTTAATTTGTCTAAGCAGCATGGTGAGTGGATTAGGCACTAGCAGACAGGAGATCTGGGCCTAATGTCAGCTCTGCCACAGGCTTCTTGTGTGTGTGATCTTAGTCTAGTTACTTACTTACGTTTCATACGCCATCTGTAGATGGATCATTGATATATACCCATGTCAGAGAGGTGGTGAGAGGCCTAACTTAAATGTTTGTGAAGTTGTAAGATTAGTCAGAGAAAGAGTTCAGAATAGAACTTGTGAATCCTGACTCCCAGCCGTGTGCTCATTCCCTGTACTGTGTTTGTGCAGTGCCTAGTACAATGAGACCCTATTCTGGCCTGGCCTGTAGGCACTACCATAATAAATGTGATTTCAAGAAATAAATAATCCAAGGGGCTGCTTATGTAAATAAGAGGAAATTTCTTACTGAAGTCTTTGAGTAGCTTGGTGTAAAAAAACAAAACAAAAAACCACATCCCAGATAGATCAGCTAGTCTGGATTTAAAGCACCACCAAATTTGGGTGAGAAGGTTTTGTGTGTGGCATGGAGGGGGTTTAGGATGTCCCAAGTAGGAGCCCCAGTTAGCTCTGCAGTGAATACATAACCATACAGAAAATACTGTGGGTATGTAGGGGGTTGAATTTATTATGAGCTCACTAGCAAAATTCAGTGACAGTATCTGTGTATTTTTACTCTTGCTTCTGTATGGCTCCTTACCATGGGGGAAGGGAATGGGCTTTTCACAATTGCCTAAGAGACTTAGGAGCACAAGTCCCAGTGAAAGTCAATGGTGCTGATGCTCCTAAATCACGTGGGAAAATCCTACCTGGGGACTTTAAACAAACTTTCAAAAATTTGTGGATTAAAAAAATCCCTCCTGTCATTTACTGTGTTCTATAATACATCGTCACAAGATGAAAATTACAAATGTTCTCTTAAATTACTGCTTTTTCCATTATACTTTCTCTCTGATTATCATGAAGTCAGGGTGAATAGAGCAAAGTCTGTCATACACACTTCTGTAATAATTCTACGTATTAAATTTTTTTCTGCTGTAATATAATTACCAACCACCCTTCTCCCTTCCTCTCGTCCCATTCTCCCATTTATTAAATAAACAAAACATTGAGAGTTAACAAAACAAGCTCTACCAGCAGAATTTGGAGGCTCTAGTCCCTTCTTTAGCTTATTTGATAGTATGTCTGTTACTGCTATCTTCACTTTCTTCTGTTGTATTGATTTCTCTCTGACTTTTCTCTTTCTTGACCCTTTCCCCATGGACTGAAAAGGAAAAGGTATAGTAATATTGCATCGTGCATGTATTTTGCATGAATGGCTTGTCTCCTGCTTTACAGTGCTGTTTTGAATGCTGAAAGGCCAGGTTACCATATATTGCAGTTCAGGGTCTGTGAGCTGGGCAGTGAAGGAGGCAGGGCTCTCTCTTGCTGGCTATTGCAGCTTACTGCCTACTGTATTAGCAATCTTATTTTTGAGGTTCTGACTTTCTTATTTTCATGGCTCTGGCCTCCAAGAACAGTAGAAGAGAAGACAAGCATATGTGCTGTTTGTGGCTCTTCAGTGCAGGCCACCTTTGGCTACTTTTCTAGGAGCCAGGCAAAACAGAGTACTTCTACGAGGCCTAGGCCTGATTCCCCCTGCAAGCAGATAGTGATGGCATTTTATTCCTGAAGTCTGGTTCCGCCTTCTGTCATGGGATGAATAGCTCCATAAGCCCTTCACAGGGGAAGAAAACCTAACCCCCCCACAAGCAAACAGTTCAAGTGCTTGCTCATGTCGATTCCATTCTAGGTGTGCGTGCGCCCACATGAGCAGGCAGTCGGAGATTTTTGCTTTAGCAGTATCAGTAGGATCGGCTGTGGCGCCCTCTTGAGTGCCTCGCTCATGCGTTGGTATATTAGGTGCTGCTGGCCCTATTCCCTCTCAGTTCCTTTTTACTGCCCATGGTGGTTAGTTGGAGTGACTTTCCCTTATCTCGCAAGGGCTAGTGGTTGTTCTACTTCGGTCTTTGAGCCTTAAGGCCTTGTAAATAGTTTGTTTACAGTAGTTGGTTAGTAAGACACAATCTAGACTGGGTAGTCAGGGTGCTGGTTCACATCCGATCATCCTTGGATTGGTGGTTGAGCCCCAAATATGGGTTGGAGGGAGTTCCTTTCATGGCTCAATACCTGACGCTGACCCTGGTTTCTGATGGCTTGGTCTGGGGAGCCCACCTGGGTGAGCTCAGCACTCAGGGCCGCTGGACAATCTGACCCTCCACATGAATGTCAGGGAGCTCAAAGTAGTTTGCCTGGCCTGCCAGGCTTTCCTGCTCCACGTGAAGAGCAAGGTGGTGCAGGACCTGGCAGACAATACCACAGCGATGTATTATATCAACAGGCAGGGTGGAGCCAGGTCGTCTGCCCTTTGCCAAGAAGCTCTCCACCTTTGGGACTTCTGTGTGCGGCATGCCATCCATCTGGTAGCTGTGCATCTGCCTGGGGCCAGGAACGTATTAGCAGATTGCCTCAGCAGGACCTTCTTGATTCACTACGAGTGGTCGCTCCACCCGGAGATAGTCAGTGTGTTCTTCCAGAGGTGGGGGACTCCCCAAGTGGACTGTTCGCTTCCTGTCAGAACAGGAAATGCCACGTGTTCTGTTTGTTCTGGGGATTGGGCAGGGGCTCCCTGTTGGGCGGCTTTCTGCTCCCATGGTCGAGGGCTCTGATGTACACCTTCCCACTGTTGCCGCTAATCCACAAGGTCCTCATGAAGATCAAACAGGACAAGGCGAAGGTGATTCTGATAGCCCCTGCGTGGCCTCGGCGCCACTGCTTTGGCACGCTGACGGACATTTCGGTAGCTGCCCTGCTGCATTTAACTCTCTGGCCAGACTTGCTGTCCCAGAACCATGGCAGTCTTCTGCATCCAAACCTGGTGGCGCCACACTTCACAGCGTGGCTTCTGCATGGCTAAATGCGTAAGAACAGGAATGCTCAGCCTGGGTCCAACAGGTCTCGTTGGGTAACAGAAAGCCCTCCACCAGAGCAACCTACTTGGCCAAGTGGAAGAAGTTCACATGCTGAGCCTTGGTCTGGGGTATCCTGGCTGAGTCCAGGATGGCCTGCAGTGAGGCCTGCTATCTTCTGCATCTCAAGCTCCAAGGGTTGTCCTTGTCATTGATCAAAGTCCATTTGACCACTATTTCGGTCTTCCACCCTCCACTCCAGGGCAGGTCGGTCTTCGCTCACCATGTGATGGTCCAGTTTTAGAAAGGTCTGGAACATCTGTACGCGCACATTAGAGATCCCGTCCCTCCCTGGGACCTGAATCTCGTGCTGTCGCAGCTCATGGGTCCTCTCTTCGAGCCTCTAGCTTCCTGCTCCCTTCTCCTTCTCTCCTGGAAAGTCTTTCCTGGTTTCAATAACATCCGCCCGCAGGGTCTCTGAGATCAGGGTGCTTACTTCAGAGCCACCCTGTACGGTGTTCTACAAGGATGTGGTCCAGCTGCAGCTGCATCCAACTTTCCTGTCCAAGGTAGTTTCACAGTTTCATTCTGACCAAGACACACATTTACTGGTCTTCTTTTCGAAGCCTCATAAATCGGAAGAGGAGCGCAAATTGCACGCCCTGGAGGTCAGGAGGGCGCTTGCACTGTGGGGCTAAAAATAATATTCAGATGTAATTCAGCATAGTTCTTCTAAATTAATGGTGTAAAGCTAGCTAATAAGACAAGACATTTTATAGCTAGATTGGTAAAGAGCTACTTGTCGAAGACTTCAGTTGGTGATGCGTTGTTGAATGTTACAGCTGAAAATATCATGCTAATATTCCTTACAAAATTGATTTTGTTAAAGGGGCAATCCAGTGTGGGTAAAGTCAGAATGAACAGGATTGGTAATAAAAATAGGTTGTTCTTTTATAGACTCAGACTTCAACGTCAGAAGAGACTATCATGATCATCTAGTCTGACCTGCTGCATCAGTTTCTCTTGTTTTCTCGCTAACAGCAGCCTCCATGTAGTAAAGGGTTTTTTGTTAACTTTTTGGGAGGCTATAATATTAATGTCAAAAAAGACATGAGACAACTTACAAAACAACTTTAAAAAAAAAAAAATTACGGCGGCTGCAATTTTCCTCCTAACTGGCAGGTTGTAAGTAAAATTAAAGTACAAAGGAACTGATTGTGTTTTGAGCTGATAGGAAGAGAACAACTTTCGTCTTTCAGACTTCAACTTCCGGAGGAATTGCGCTTCAGTTTGAACATGTGGTGAATGTTTTCAGATAAATGTGGTGTTTCAGGTTGGGATTTATTGACTTCCTTGTTAAATGGTGTCCAGAAATTTCAGGTAAAGAAAGCTGTCTGACCTCCTCACTAGAATCCTCCTGTCTGGTAAGAGAGCAGTCTGTGCTGGGAAGGATGCCATTGCTCAAGGAGGCAGGACACAAGTTCCTTTATTTTCACTTCTTCCCCCACCTGTTAGTAAAAAGTAAAAGCAGTTTATTTAAAAAAAAAAAAAAAATCAGCTCCAACAGCAACCACGAAAGAATAATTTAAAGGATATTAAATATTTGCCTGTATTTCAAAAAATCATGAAAATTGTTTTTCTTCTGCTGTAGTTTTCAAACTCTCCCCTCTCCCCCCCCCCCCCAAATACTGTGTTCTTATTAAAGTAGTCTACTAAGTCAAGCAAATACAAAGTTTTTTTTCCTTCTCTCTTCTGGCTTAGACCCTGCTTTTAAATTCTTGTACGTGTGCTTAACTTTAAGCATGTGAGCAGTACTCGTACTCAAAGTGAAGCATGTGCATAGGTATTTGCAGGACTGAGGCCTTAATTTTAATAGTTATACCTTTTATTTTATCATTCTTACTATATTACTTCTTGTTTAGATCCAAACCAGGCTCTTCGGCTTTGTCTGGGCAGCACTGCTGTTGGGGCCCAGTATGGGGCTATCTCGGCTCTCAGTATCAACAATGACTGTTCAAGACTACTGTGTGGCTTTGCAAAAGGACAGGTAATTGATATTTAATAGGAGTAAGAAAGTTGGGGAATAGGAATAAGACGGTTAGGAATGACTGTTGTTTGAAGGATAACAGTTTCTCTTAGTGCAGCGTGCTTGTCTACCAACATCTCTTCCTAGGGAGCTAGTTGATTTGGGTTTAAGCCTTTCCAGTTTGAGCTGAGTGTTATCTAGGAATTATATACTCTACTTAATCCTGAATTATTTTGAGAGCTAGGATTGATTTGAGTAGCTCACATCTGAATCTTTCCCCAAAGTTTGGGGCTGCTCAGAGTTATGGTTTGATGCATTATATGGAAGCAGTAGGTCCAAAGTGTGTCAAACTTTGGGGAAAGAGGGCTCTGATTTAGTGTTGCAGTTTGGATCCATCTCTGGTCCTAAAGAAAGGAATCCCTGGACAAATATTATGTATAGTTATAAAATCAAAATTCCAAGAAGATGATAATATTGTATGCAATGTTGTTGTAGCCATGTTGTTCCCAGGATATTGGAGAGAGAAGGTGGGTGAAGTAATGTCTCTCTCACCAACAAAAGTTGGTCTTATAAAGAGATTGTCACCCACCTTGTCTCTCAAGGAGATCAAATATTATTCTGATATGAAACTTAAGATCAAGAATCTCTGCAACCTTTTCCATAACCTCCAGGTGCATGTCCTTTCTTTGTTTATCTTCATCTTCTTTTGCTCCTTCTTTTTCACCAGATACCTTTCACTCTTCTTTCATAGCGATGAAAAATTACTGCCTCCCGTAATAGTGTCCTTACTCTGTTGTAATCTTATCTTCTTCATTTCATTTCATCATTATTCTCTCCTTGCGTTGTGAGAGGGACTGGAAGGGAGGAAGCCGGGTGATGGGTATTAACTGGGGATGTTGTAAAGTAAATACGTTCCTTGAATATTTGTTCCTATACACACTGTGATTAGCAGTGGCTGAGATGCCTGCTTTTCAAGCCAATTTCAGTAAGTAAAAATTGGAGACGAGTTTCTTCCATGCTAGGAAGATGCTTGAACACTTTTTCCCCCACAAAAAAGTGAGTTTTTGTATAATACCCTGAAGTGGGGAAACTTGAACATTGCCTCTATGTGCCCCTCTCATCTTTCTGATCTATAAGGCTTGTGCAAAACTGAGGGTAACAATATGGAACTAAGTCTTTTGTTGATCTCAGCACACAAATCACCCAAGCTTTTAGTATTTTTAAACTCTTACTTGCAAATAAAAGTTATTATATACAAATAAAGTGTAAAAGTACATAAAAGTTATGTTCAGAATTTTAGCCTTCTAGATGTGTTAGAACTCTTACATGTATTAATGATGAAATTCTGTAGCAGCATTATAGCTAGAGTGACAGAGAAATCTAGTTAGTTGTCTGAGCATTTCCTGTTTCAGACCATGATTTCAGTTGCTCAGGCTCCATAACATTTTGATCTTTTCATGCTGAAATTTTCTCAGTCTGATCACTACTGGAAGGTTAGATATATTTTTTTTTTTTTTTTTTTTTTTTTTTTAATTTTTCAATTTTATTATTAGGTAAAAAGTGTTTTTTAAAAAATTGAGACCATTTAAAAAAAATTGCCATTGTCACAATAGCTAAAGGTAGAAAATTGAAACATAGGGAGGTGGTTAGCAAAAGTATGCAATACCTTTTGAGAGTTTGATGGAAACTGGTTTTAATTAGGCTGTTATGAATCTATGAAAATAGCACTTTGCATCTCAGTTGGTGTTCAGTTTTAAATGTTTAACATTTTTTTTTACGTACAGTCAGAGGAGGTAAGCTTATGGGACATGCACATTGGAGCATTGCTGCATCCTTGTGATATTCTAGGATATGCATGGGATTCCATAGGGTGCCTTTTTGTTTGTGCTGCTGAAAACTTTGTGCACCCAATGCATAAAGGTTTCAATGAGTCAGTGAGACAAGTCTGAGGAGAACTCTCGCTTTAAGTGTGGAAAAGCCAATGCTCTGTTGATCCTGTAGCCAAACAGTTCCAGGTCATGGAATCTCTAAAATAACAATAAAATTTACATTAAGACCATATGGTAAAGCACTCAGAAGTTGGGATACATGGAAATTTTATTGGAGTACACTCAACCTTAATTCTTCCCTCTTGTGTGTAGGCTTTACAAAGCAGTCTTTAATTACCAGTGGCCAGCCCAAGACTGCGGAACATGATCGCACAGAATCTAAACCTCACCACACTTCTTTGACTTTACCTTCCAAATAAAATACATACAACGCACCTTGCAGAAATAAAATTTAAATTAACATGCAGTTTTCCTTGAGTGGACAGAGATGAGATTGGGAAAAAAAATTCAGATGCTAACATGTCAGTTGCAGTGCTGGAGAGTGATCGGATATCCTGGTGATGGGCATGGTATAAGAATCTGAAGAGAATAGAATGACTTACGGTCAACAGGTCTGACCTGTCCAGAGCAGGGATCAGTAGTAGATGTTACACATAGATCTCTAATGTTGTAGAAGAAATTGTATGAACTGTTGCACTATTTGAAAAATGGTATATTGTGGGTAATTAAAGACTGTATTATAATTATCCATTCATTTAATATCATATAAGGTGATGAGAGGTAAGTTTTGCTGGAAATTGAGAGCTTCTGTGGATTGTTTTTTTTTTTTTTCCCCAGACTGCGCATGGACAAGCAAGATAAAGGGTGCATCAAATCAAATTTAGAAACAAGTCATCAGATGAAAATCTAAGATTGGAAATTTCTTGGGAACTGAGAAACTTGTTAATTTATTGATGCTCAGGGAGGCATGGAGAATATCTTATTTCAGTTTGCACACTTGATAACGAAAACTTGTACTGAAGAAAATTAACTTTGTTTGCAGATTACCATGTGGGATCTGGCTAGTGGGAAACTTTTAAGATCAATAACAGATGCTCATCCCCCAGGAACAGCAATTTTACACATCAAGGTAAGAAGCATTCAGTAGTCTTATTATATAGTTCCCTATTAATCCCAGTAGTAATAGACTATCTGAGATCTACCTGCATCAAGACAAAGTGGCTTTACAAAGGAGATTATCTTTTAAAGCATTTTGAGATCTACTGATGAAAAGCATTATATAAGAGCTAATACCATTTTATCTAGAGCTCTGTAAAATTGATGCAGATATTCTTTATTTTCTTTGAGTTTTTTTGAAGATGAAAAGCAGAAATTACAAAGTGACATCTACTCCATTGTTAAGATTGCAGCGGAGTTTCTCTTAAAACTTTGCCCCGTTCCCTCCAAAATCTGCAGATAAGGGTCTAGTAGCCTCATAATTGATAGGTTAGATCTGGGACTGAGGTAGAATTTCCTCCCAAATTTGAAGTGATGCATCCTAATGAGACTCCAAAAGTTCTTTGGTTTGTTTTGCAACTGACCGAGAGAGAGAGAGAAACTTTGGTTTATCGGATTCAGCTTGTAAGAACACCAGATTAGCTGACTAAATCTTAAAAGTTAAAGCTTTAATTAGCAAAGCAAGGTAAGTACGTTACTGACGTGTCCTCACTTCTGCCTCCTTCTCCTTGGTGGTGCACATAAAGAGCAAGAACCAAAGCACAAGTGCATGCAAGAAGCTAAAGGAGCCTTTTTGGAAGGCAGTGCTGATGGGGCTCTGTCCTAATTGTTCCCTGCTGACAAACGAAGGGTCTGAAGTTTAGCAAACAGCCTGGAGTCTGTTTCCCCAGATGAGCCACCACCCTACCCCTCAGGTGCTTAAAAGTAGGAAACTCAGAATAGGGAGCAAGCCAGGAGGAAGCATCTTCAATGAGATCTGCATGGATAAGACCAGTGTTCCCTTCAGTCCCAGACTCGATGAAATCCGGAATTCCCATTCCCACTCTCTGCCTTTGGGAAAAGATCAGGTATTCTTCAAGTAATAGCCCTATGGGTGCTCCATTTCAGGTATTGATGCTCCCACATGCCTTTGGAGATTTTTGGCAGCAGGTCCTGTTTTGTTCTGCATGTGCGCTGTAGCTCTCCTCGTGCCCCAACTGGGGGTATATAGAGGTTGCAGTGAACAAACGACCCTCAGTTTCTTCTCAACCACCTATGTCCTGAGATGGAACATTTCAGTGGTGCCAAGTAATATAGCTAGTTACCTGTTTCTTCTTAGTTTCTTAATCTTTAGTTAAACTAGTCTATTAGGACTAGGTAATCAGTTTTTATTTAAATAGTTATAGTTTTAGTTTTTATTTGTGCTGTTTCTAGATGCTTTTAGGGTCCCTCCGCTTCCCTGAAGGAGCTTTTTTCCCCTTAGGGTATGCCCAAATCCCCAGGATTTAAGTGTTGCCTCGCTTGCCGGGAGTCCATCTGAGTTATTGATGGCCATTTGCACTGTATTTGCTGCTTGGTGAATACTTGTGAAGCAGCCAAGTGCAAGATTTGCTCAAGAGTCAAAAGTTATTCCAGGAAAAACAGAGCTAAAGTTTCACCTCCTTATAATGGAACTTTCCCTCCAACCTGCACCAGGTCTGGATAACATTCTTCAAGTGACCACAGCTCCCCGTCAGCATCCAAGCGAGAATCTAGCAGTATCATTTGTTCCAATGTGTAGGACAATCAGTGGATTCTTTCTGCTCCCATTAGGATCCTTTTCAGCCTTGGGTCCACATACTGTATCTTAGCTCCTGGCAGACAGCACACCCTTCTGTTCTCTGGATCAGCTCTAGTAACAGGCCTGTCTGCCCTTCTTTAGTAGGGAGTCACCAATCACGTAGACCTGCCTCTTCCTGGTGTTGGTGTGATTCTCTGGCCTTCCTCCTGTTCCTTCTGGCTGCAAGTCCCCTGGTCTTTTGTTCTCCCTTGCAGTGTTTTGCAAGTCCTTCTGTATCTTCTTGGGGCTCTGAACTCTGGCTATCTCCATTGTCTCTTCCCCTCTTCTTGTAGGACTAGCCGCTCTTCTCTTCTTCCTTGTCTTCCAATCTTCTGTTACTGCCTGCTGTGCCCCTTCTTCATTTTCCAACTCAGCAAACCCGTTCCTGAGCTCCTATTTCTGCTTCACTCTCTGATCTTTTCCTCTCCCTGGTTCTCATAGTCACATGCTTCCACTGGCCACTTTCCTCACCCAGCAGTCTACCCTCACAGTTCTCTAGTGCAGCTTGCATCTGAAAGTCTTGCCTTCCCTCCATCATTTGCTTGAATCCCCTTCGAAATTCAACTGTAGTTTCCACCTGCATATCCAAACCTTGGGTCTTCTCTTCCATGAGCTCTACCAGGGGCACTTCATACAAACTAAGTTCTTGTCGGTACCCATTCCAGGATAATGTACATCCTGTAGCTTCCACATCTGGTCATCTTCATTGTCTCTTCCATCCCTTGTGTCACTACCACTGCTCCTTCTGTATCTGTCATAGCCTAAACTTCTGTCAAGAAAAAAACAAAATAACCAAACCAAAATGAGAACACCACACCTCTCCTCTCCCAAACTCCACTCAGAAACTCCCACTAATATCCCCTGTTTTCATCTGTATGCCACTGGCTGGCTCCTTCATTGCCTTTATATGCCCCCTAATCAGGGAAGTCCTGCCCTCTAATCAGGGCTCCACTTCTCTCACAGCACACTGCCCCCTATCAGTCTCTGCAAACTGAAAAAAGAAAAAACACACACAAACTCACTCATTGCCCATAAGGAACAGGGGCTTGCCTACTTGCTTCTCCTCCAACAGAACTCCCACTCAAACTCCCCTGTCCCAAGAGCCTCAACTTTATCTCTGTGACAAAGCTCTTTCCTTCCATTCCTTGGTCACATTAAAATAATGACTACTAATATATTTGATGCTGACATGTAATCTTACCATGCTCAATCAGAGACAACAGAATCTAGCTGGTCTGCAACATTCACTGATATTCAGATCTCTCCCCAAAGACTGGTAACATAGGACTTAAAAAAAAAAAAAAAAAAAACTACAAAGGATGTTTCCTCCATCTGGAACCTAGACATACTGAAACTTCAGTGTTTTCTCCCTCAATGTTTCTCTTGGGAGAAGGGAATCAAAGGGTAGGTGCTTAATCACCTTCCAATACCCGTATTGGGGTTTTTCAATCATCCTGGACTGGAATCAATTTTAGGTGGCGGGAAGAAGCACTGTCAGTTTTCCAGAACACCCTTTCCGTTACCAGAATGGGACACCCTTGGGAGTCCTTAACCTCCCCTACAGGTTGAATTTTAGGTAGATAACGAATCACTTTTCAGACACCAGGTTGGGGCAAAAGTGCTATCAACTACCCCCACATCGGTGGTACCGGAATAGAAGGCCGATGTGCTATCATCGGGTTTGGCAGCCCCAGAGGAAAACTACCACTCTGTCGGTGCCAACAGCCTATCTGGGTCTTTGGGCAGACGTGGTGCTTGAGCATAACTGCTTGTCGTTATTTGGCGAATGGTTTTTCTGGATGTCTTAGTCTCAGCTCATTAGCTAGTGCTATTTTAACACTACCGAGAATAAATCATACATTTAAAATGAAATCCCCTTTGTCTCCTACTGAGACAGTTCAGCTGAGCCCTGGTCTACACTACGAGTTTAGGTCAAATTTAGCAGCATTAGATCGATTTAACCCTGCACCCATCCACATGATGAAGCCCTTTTTGTCGACTTAAAGGGCTCTTAAAATCGATTTCCCTGACGAGGGGATTAGCGCTGAAATCGACCCTGCTGGGTCGAATTTGGGGTAGTGTGGACGCAATTTGACGGTATTGGCCTCCGGGAGCTATCCCAGAGTGCTCCATTGTGACTGCTCTGGACAGCACTCTCAACTCAGATGCACTGGCCAGGTAGACAGGAAAAGCCCCGCAAACTTTTGAATTTCATTTCCTGTTTGGCCAGCGTAGCGAGCTGATCAGCACAGGTGACCATGCAGAGCTCATCCACACAGGTGACCATGGAGTCCCAGAATCGCAAAAGAGCTCCAGCATGGACCGAACAGGAGGTACTGCATCTGATCACTTTATGGGAGACGAATCCGTGCTATCCGAACTCCGTTCCAAAAGACGAAAATGCCGGAATATTTGAAAAAATCTCCAAGGGCATGAAGGACAGAAGGGTTATAAGCAGTGCCGTGTGAAGCCTACCAAAGAACCAGAGAGGCAAACGGCCGCTCCGGGTCAGAGCCCGAGACATGCCGCTTCTGTGATGAGCTGCATGCCATTCTAGGGGGTGCCCCTACAACTACCCCACCCCTGTGCTTCCCTCCTCCCTCATCCCTCCTGGGCTACCTTGGCAGTTTATCCCCCCATTTGTGTGACAAATTAATAAAGAATGCATGAATTTGAAACAACAATGACTTTATTGCCTCTGCAAGCGGAGATCAAAGCGGGGAGGGGAGGGCGGTTGGCTTACAGTGAAGTAGAGTGAACCAAGGGGGTGGGTTTTCATCAAGGAGAAACAAAGAGAACTTTCACACTGTAGCCTGGCCAGTCATGAAACTGGTTTTCAAAACTTCTCTGATGCACAGTGCGCCCTGCTGTGCTCTTCTAACCGCCCTGGTGTCTGGCTGCGCGTAATCAGCGGCCAGGCGATTTGCCTCAACCTCCCACCCCGCCATAAACGTCAACCCCTTACTCTCACAGATATTGTGGAACACACAGAAAGCAGTAATAACTATGGGAATATTGGTTTCGCTGAGGTCTAACCGAGTCAGTAAACTGTGCCAGCGAGCTTTTAAACGTCCAAAGGCACATTCTACCACCATTATGCATTTGCTCAGCCTATAGTTGAACTGCTCCTTACTACTGTCCAGGCTTCATGAGCCATGGGAGCAAGGGGTAGGCTGGGGTATGTGCGACCGCGTGGTGCTGCCGACTGGGAGAGCAGCCTGAGGCAGAAGCCTCCAGCTGGCATGATATTCCAGGCAGGACTGAATCTCCATGAGACGAAACTTAAAGAAGAGAATGACCTGGAGTCATTCCCATTTTTGTCCAGGCGCCCCCGA